TCTTTGATCTTGTAATTTTTACAAAAGAATTCTTTTGTAGCTGTTTTCTGTATGACCACCAAGTCAAACATTCAAGATACGGGTAGCAAATAGCACAATTTTCTCATTGTACCGGTCGTGAAGGATGCCAAAGGAGAAGCCACTAAATTTAGTTGTGTTAAATGTCCCAAATCTTTTCAGATATTTTCAGATAACCCACAGGGAACATAGGAAACAAGATTCCCCCGCTCCAGCTCTTCCTGAATCCAGCCCGATTGGATTGCGAGCAGACAGCTCTGGTTCCGGTGCAGTAGATTCCCACTCATAGCCAGTGCTGATTTTCCCATCACTTAGGCCTGGATGTGGAGCCTCTGAAAGGGGATTAGTGTGCGTTTGGGGTGTGGGTTTTTGAGAAAAAGTTATTCTCAGGACGCACAGAAACATGGGCTGAGGCCACGATTGGGAGACTTCCCTTCCTCCCTTCGTTCCTGTGCTCTGCATGCCTAGAACACAGCTGAGGGGAACATGCAGCAGCAAACAGAAACACCCAAAGACAAACGGTTTGATCCTAAAGAACTCAACAGGATAAACCCAGTTACCAAGCAGAGTTAAAGTGCTGCAGGCGCAGTGTTCCACAGGATGGCCTGTGTCGCACCTGTGGCCAGCCTGAGGCAGGGAGGACAGAGCACTGGGGGCTGGGGGTGCAGTCACAGCCGGACCCCATGTCCTCAGTGCCTGAAACCACGTGCCAATGTCCTGAGAGCCTCCTGCTCTCCTGCACACTCTGCCCACTGTCTGTTTCAGAGACTGAGCAGAAAAGAGAACAGACCTCATCAATCACCTTAGTGACTACAAGCTGCAATGACAATACTTAGTATATATTGGGTTTAAGTAAAATACTATTAAAATTCATTTCACATTTTTTTAAAAAATATATTTTTATTGATTTTGTACAGAGAGGAAGGGAGAGAGATAGAGAGTTAGAAACATCGATGAGAGAGAGTCATCGATCAGCTGCCTCTTGCACACCCCCTACTGGGGATATGCCCGCAACCAAGGTACATGCCCTTGACTGGAATCGAACCTGGGACCCTTCAGTCCCCAAGCCGACGCTCTATCCATTGAGCCAAACCGGTCTTGGCTCATTTCACATTTTTAACATGGCTATTTTCAATGACATCTACAGCTTGTATATTTCTGGACATCCTGTTTTAGTGACAACCCCAACGGGTTATCTTAGTTTATCAATTAGCAATGCACTGTTTTTATAATAGAATTTTTACTTACTTTAGCAATTGGAAATGGTATGTTGAATTACATAGGAAATTAACTTTTTTCTCTTCTACTTTGTAGGAAGAGCAGTAAGCCTCATGAAGACATAATTGGCATCAGATCTCAAAACCAAGGCTCTCTGGCCCAGGGAAAAAAATTTTTAATGAGCAAATTTTCATCTCTAAATCAAAAAGTGAAACAGACCAGATCCAACGTAAATATTGGCAATTTACGAAGGCTAGGAAACTTTGCAAAACCTGAAGTGAAAGTTAATTTTCTAAAACCAAACTTGAAAGTAAATCTTTGGAAATCAGATAGTAGTCTTGAAACCATGGAAAACACAGGAGTGATGGATAACACCGTCCAGGCGGAGTCTGATGGGGAAATGTCTTCAGACAATGACTCCTACCATTCGGATGAATTCCTTACAAATTCCAAGTCTGATGAGGACCGGCAGCTGACGCACTCTTTGGAGAACATGGGGCCAGTAGACTACGTTCTTCCCAGCTGTGGCATCATTGCTTCCGCACCTCGATTAGGTAGATCCCAGTCTATCAGCAGCACCGATGTTAGCATTTATGTTCCTACAGATGTTACTATTGCTGCTCGTGGAAGTGAGTTTGGAAAAGGCTGTGAGTCGCCTTTAAAAAAAAGCCCTTCTGCTGATAATATACACATACTGACTGGCTTTGCCAAGCCTGTGGATATTTACTGCCACCGATTTGTACAAGACGCACAAAACAGAATGACTCAACTGTCAGAAACCAGGCTTCTTTCTCAGCAGGCTAGTGAGGAGGGAAAGCAAACCACCAATCAAGTTTCCAACGAAGAAACCCAATCTGAATCAACAGAGCAGATACCTTCTCGGCCATCTCAATTAGATGTGTGTGTTCCTGCAGCAGGCCAGCAGTTTTTGTCTGTCGAACCGGTGCATCCAGTTGTATCTCAAAAGACCCCCGGCTCTGGATCCAGCACGCTTGAACTTGAGACAGGGCTTCAGGTAACTCCTTCTCCATCGGAGAGCAGCAGCAGAGCAGTCTCCCCCTTCGCGAAGATCCGGAGCTCCATGGTCCAGGTCGCTAACATTACCCAAGCCGGGTTAACCCAGGGGATAAGCTTCGCAGTGGCCAAGGTTCAGAAGAGCCCCGCGGAGCCTGAAGCGGTTAGCGAAGTCCAGCAGAATGAGCTCAAAAGTATGTTTACACAATGCCAGACACGAATAATTCAGATTTAGTGTTTAGCCACAATCCTGTGGCTTTTACTTAAAGAGAAGGGTTTCACACAGGAGGCCATGTTAACCTGCACTGACTCTGAATTGAGGGATCATAAATCCCATTTCCTGGGAAAAGTTTTTAAAAGAATATGAACTTGAGCAGATTTCCAAATTTGAGAGTCAGGACAACAGAGGTGCATCATCCTAGAATGTGTAGACCTGAGTAGCTTCAACACTACAGAGCTGTTTGTCTCTTTGACTGTAATTCAGGGATAGATTACTTTGGGGTATAATAACCTGAACCTTTTCGTGTGTGAAGTAGACGCAAAGGATGGTCATGGATACATTGAGGGGGTTAGAATTTTTTAAAATTTAATTTTTCTCAGTACATTTCTGTGTATTACCTCTACAAGGTAAATGCATTTACTTTTTAGTGACTTTAAAAGTGTTACTAATATGGAGAAGCATTTTAATATAAAAAGATGGCTTAACCATTCCCTATGAAGAATTGAGGGTTACTGGCATAGTTAAGAAGTGTGTGCCCATTTGATCTTAATTTTCCTGCCACTCTGTACACCCCAAAGCCTAAGAGCATTCAGCTATGTCAGTAATAAAGCCTGAGACATCAGATCTGAATACCAGCACCTATTAATTTTGGCGTTTTCAGGTAAGTTGGTAATTGAAATTTTGTAGGCATTCCTTAACATCTTGTGTAGACTATTAAAACTGAAGCACAATTGTGCTAAAATTGGATTTATGACCATAACCCTGACCACATGGAAACTCTTCTATATAAGCCCATAGATTAAGAAAGTTATTCCAAACAAAATCTGGTTTATCTGGTATCTTTAGAGCCTTACTCTGTTGACGTGATTCTCAGCTAAACATTGTCTGTTGTAACTTTGCTAAGTATTTCCACTTTTGTTATTTATTAGTGATGTATTTTTGTGTGTGTGAAGTGTCAAATCGTGTGACTATTTAAAAAATAAAATACCATTGTAATTTAAAATGACAATGTATGAGAATTCCTTGAATAGCATTTTACGGGTAAGTTTTCTGGTGATTCCAATAGTTAGATTGCCAACTTTAATGTCCAGGTGTATAGCAAGGGAGCAAAGGGCTTCTGAGGCCCAGGGTTCTCTTTCCTACCTGCTCAGAGGGACTGAGTCTGAGGACACAGCATCTCCTCCAGGCAGGGCACAGGGGAAGAGCTGTGGTTCTCTGAAAGGGGGTTTTCCTTTCAAGGGACTTCTCTGCAAGACCAAGCCACTTAGTACTTGTCTTTGGTAAACTACGATTCACACTGGCACAAGAAACACACCGCAGCTAATCTACTCTTAAATTTTATTACCACAAATCCAGGTGAGGTTTCATTTCTCAAAGTTTAAGGATGGTCTAGTCTACCAGTTATAAAAATGAAAACCAGTTAGAATACTAAATATAAACTGATAATTTACATTAGTTTATAAAAAATAGATCTGAGTTTAGGAAAAGTTAAAACTAATACTTTTCACTTGTTTGCTAGGCATCATAAATTCCTTCATTTTCAAGGCTGACCCTGCTTCCTTGGCTAACAATGTCCGTTTAGACTTGGGGGTGGAATTTAAGGAATAATTTAACTGAACCATTAATGTTTCCAATTAGGTAAGTCACTGACTAAATATATAACCACAGCTTAAGTGATGTTTCTAACCTCTCCAAACATTCTGGGAGCCACAATGACACCATGAACAATCATGTTAGAACTGTAACTGGTCTGGGGAAAGCCTACTCAGCAGACAATGTCGATCTAATAAAGTTCAAAAAGAATTAACCTTTTTCTAAAGAGGACCTTTCTTAAAAAAATAACTATTTTACTTTCCTCAAGTGAGTGCCATAAAAACAGTGGTTCCCAAATGTACTGGGGTGAAATGAGAAAAATAAGGACAATGGAGAATTTTTTCAAAAAGCTACATTTATTCCATTTAAAGGACAATCTTGTTCTAAAATTGTCCTAATGAAAAAAAATGTAATACAGTGATTTGATCTTTTAGATAACGGCATCTTTGTCCATCCCAAAATTTTGGGAAATATTACTGGTCCATGAACTCTAAAAGTATGGGAACCACTGCCACATTAAAGACTTATTTTTTTGCAGATTAACAACTGTTAAGTAGGGGGGGGGGGGAAGCTTCTGTGGCCAAATGTTTGGGAAATCATTGAAATTCTGCAGTATCATTTCCCAAACATCTGACCACTAAACACATTCTGATCCGCTGTTAATTGAAAAGATGTAAAAAATCTTAAGTGAACAATTCCTGAATGGAACTGCAATGATTTTCATATGAACAGAGTTTGGCCTATAACTTAGCTTCAGCTAAGGAAATGGTATAAGCAGCAACATTATCTTATCAATATTAAACTTTTAATATCAAATACAGTTTTTACATTGTTACTAATTTATATAATTATAAAACAAACTCCAAAAGCTCCATAAAATCAGTAAGGTAAAAGCCCTCACTGGATATTATATAAACTTCAGGTGTTACCAGGCTTGTTTCAGGAAAAGTCCTTGGTTTTTAATACAAAGTATCTACAAAACAATGGTATAAATGATACTTGCAATTTGCAATAATGTGGCTGTAATTTGCCCCTTACTCTTCAATAGGTATCAGATGTTTAAAGTTCATTTCCATTCACACACTTCTGCTGCTGAAGCCTAGTTCTTCTCAAAGACTCGAGTTGCTTTGCTCTTAGCCATCGTTCTCTTGACAGTGTTGTCTGACCAGCACTGAGAGACAGAAACCTGGTTTGAGATAAGAAACAAATTTAAGTCTAGACCTAGGAATAGGAGACAAGATCTGTGGTAGGACCACAAAGAAGTCAAGAACCGAGTCAGACTTCTACAAAGGAATCCTTTAGTCAAATTTGGGAGATGACCCACTCTGAGAAGCAGGCCTGCTTCCACTGAAGTGATCACTGGCCAAACGCAATTTTCAATGAGCCACTTCACAAAGGTTTTTAAGAGGAAAAAGTTCATTCCTATTTTTAAAAGTTTACCTCAGCTATTACTAAATAATTTAGGGGCTTTATTCATAGCTTATGTTAAGCAATTAATGGACAAGTACTACTCACCGAGCGACAACGAGCAGCTGGTGGAGATCGTCAGCCGTGATGCTCTGAGGGTCATTCTTGCGCATTTCCACAAAGTCGTCTTCAACCGCCTTTATCAAAGAGGGAATGCCGTTTGCATTTAATTGGGAAAAGGAAACTAACATGGTCCCTGCACTGGTGTAAAAATGAAGTCAGCCCCGCTTTTTAGACAAATGAGATAACATGGATGAAAGGACTGAGAACCAAAACTTAATACACACAAATGACGTTACTGATGCAAGTATTCCAAACAAGATCAGGCAAACACGCCAGTAAATACAGGGAAGATGATGTCAGTAAAAATGGCAGAGCAAGGACCTCAGAAAATTCTCTCCATTAAAGGGAATAAGAACTCTAGTAAAAATGATCAAAATCTGCTTCATCAAAATTCTGGAGATTAGCCAGAGGCTTGCAGCAGTCTGAGGAGCATTACTTAAGAAAGGCAGTAAGAACCCCGAGCTCTGAGGAATCTAACTTGCCATTCCCCATCCTCACCCGCCTCCCAGGCAGCCTGAGAATGGCCAGCCTGGCAACCACTGCAGAGGGTAGCAGGGCTGGAAGGCTTCCCAAGCCACCACTCAGAAAGGGTCAGCCTTTGACTGGTGGTTCCTGGAAGAACCTGTTTGTAAGGTTGTCTTTAACCTTACATGTGGGGCTTGCCCAGTGTGAACAGCCTCTTCTCCCAGGGCATTTAAAAAAAGTCACAAGCTATTACATTCTTGGCTGCTGCAGGCACTGGCTAACCAAATTTTTTAAAAGGAAAAACAGGGAATGATAATAAAGCACAAAGGGAGAAAATGAGATTGTAAAGGAGCAAAGTTTTGGGTACTACTGTGAGTAAATTGGCATTCATCTCCAAATGATGGTTACAGTTAAGAGTTAAGATGTTAATTGTAGCTCCCAGGGCAACTACTAAGAAAAAAATTATAAAAGACACGGAAATTAAAGTTGTATACTAGAAATATCTATTTCAAACAAAAAGACATATAGAAAACAAGTGGCAAAATTACCTTATCAGTAAATACAATAAATGTAAATTGATAAGTACTCTAATCCCAGACATACCTTGGTTATTTCGTCAGAGATGCTGTAGTCCAGGAACCGCAGCAGGGTCAGATAAATGCGGAACTTGTTGAGCACAGAAGGCAGCACGGCTGAGAGAAGGCTGTCCATGTACTCCTCCATGTTCGGTGGAATCAGCTGTGGCTGTAAGTGGATCTGGCAATCTGCCTGAAGAGAAACAGTGCACAGTATTTTCCAAGTTCTTAAATTAATTGAAAATGTCAGAATGGATGCATCCTCTCTACCAGCTCCTAAGAGAATTAAAAATACTATTTATTATTGGGGGGATGTCACTTTTTAACATTAATTTTTATACACTATATCTACCTCAACAATAATTACAAAAGTTGGCCTTTTCTTGGTTACTTGTTTCCTCACCAGTATCAACAAACATCCAAGGCAGCCAGCCTCTGAAAAGCAGCTAAGGTTTCAGATGTTTTCTTAATCATAGAATATGTATTCCATATATTAATCATTCTTTCCCACAGAAAGCTTACCAAGGGCCATTTCATCCTCATTCACAGGTAGTTTTCTCAAACCACAAGTGAATGCTATCATACAGAGAAACTTGATGCCTTTGGAATAGCGTATTTCCCATTAGTAAGAGCTGTCAGTCACACTGATGATTTACCAGAGTATTTCACCATCGGCAAAAAAATAATCATCAGATGGATCAGGAACACTTTAAAGGAACCCTAAAATATTTCTCACATAGATTGGCAGAAGTCAGTGGGACAGAGGCAGGAAGAACAAAGGTGTGGGTGTGAATCAGGCAAGTTACTGACAGCCTCTACTTTCTATACCAACAGCTTTTTTCGCTTGTCTTGTGATTTGCTGATAACTGATTCTTCGTAGATCTAAGTTTTCATCCCAAGGCAGAAACAAAATAATTCCCTTATTAGTAATCAGCAGCTACAATTTTGAAACAAGTTTAACTTAGTAATATGCAGTAATCAAGAGACAAAAAATATATAAATATATTTCCAATATAACCTCCCTCCCTTTAAAAATGACTCATCGTACGGGTAGGAGTGATCTCCCCTCCGAAGTAATCAAAACATTAATATTGCAAGGGAATTCCATCTGGTGGTAACTGAAATCATAATCCACCTTCTGCCAAGTTATTAGGTTGCTCAGGGCCGTCACGTTATGCACACCTAGAAAAGCAGGAAAATAACTTCTCAGTCATTTGATTTTAATCACCTAAACAAATCAGTTTTACTGACACTGATTATAAGACACGAGGTTTCTTCTGCTTTAAAACAGTATGTAAGGCACTGTCCAATTTACTACGCTAAGTGTTCATTAGGTAATACTTCCCACGATATCTGATACCTAGCATCTGGTATGCAATTAGGCAAAAAATAGGTGCCCAATTAAGTATGATTACTTTCTAGGTGGTGTGTTCCAGAGGGCTAAAACAGGATGGTAGAACTGAAATTATCCTTCTCCACAGGAATGAGGTTATGGAGTTTTATTGATTTGCTACCATCTACTTTTGCCGTAAGTGTACCCAGTCAACACTGTTTCTAATTCTACCTTTTCCTCTTGAACTTAACACCAGCATCATGTCACCTGAGCACAGGTAAAGCTATCTGCTTAATTTTTAACATTTTTTGTTATTTTTTTAAAATATATTTTATTGATTTTTTACAGAGAGGAAGGGAGAGAGATAGCTAGAAACATTGATGAGAAACACATCAATTAGCTGCCTCCTATAAAAAATGTGCCGCAACCAAGATACATGCCCTTGACCAGAATCGAACCCGGATCTTTCAGTCCGCAGGCTGACGCTCTATCCACTGAGCCAAACCGGTTTTGGCATATGTTTTTATTTTTAGAGAGAGGAAGGGAGAGGGGTAAATAGAAACATCGATGAGAGGAACATCATATGTTGGCTGCCTCCTGAATGTCACTATTGGAGACTGAACCCACGACCTGAGCATGTGCCCTGACGGGGATCAAACAGTGGCCTCTTGGTTCCTGGGTGGAAGCTCAGCCGCACCAGGGGGGCCCTTGTAATTTTATAATGCTCTCTAACTGGGCTTAGTGCAAACCATCTGATCTACTAACTTTTTATGTTTTCAGAGATGCTTTTAAATAAAAATTTTAAACTTCATATTGGGCAGTAAAAGTTTTATTACATCTTTTCTACACTTTTTTTTTTTAAGGTAATATATGACTAAAGGCAAAACCTCTTTTTATCTTTGAAGCTATTCACTAATTGTTCTATCATTGTTAATTTGGTGTAAACTGTAAATTTCCATATAATTATAACAACACATAGTTGATGTACACAACTTGCACTATCGATATATGCTTTAATTAAATTCACATGGCAAGCCTTTACCTTAAATATTTCTGAGATGTGAATTTGTTCAGTTATTCTTTTAAGAAGTCATTACAGACCTGGCTTTGACAGGAGGTTGCAGATGGAAGGGAAGCGCCCACGTACGCACCTGAGGTGTCGAGCTGGCCTTGCTCCAGGAGTGTCTCATCGATGACCAGGGACGTGTTGCTGGGCAGCTGGAGGAGCCCGCTGACCAGGCGATTGGCCGTATAGTCTTTGTGGGGAATGAATTTCAAATGGTTCATGTTCTCTATAGTCATCTGGAGACGAAAAGACTGCAAAGAGAAATTTTTAATGAGTAAGGAACTAAGTTTCCTGTTTTAAGAAAACATTTGGAGTTAAACACTGTGTTTATATGGAAGGAACCTATCAACTCACAAGAGGAATCTCATGGTTTCTTGAGCCCTTTTAAGCAAAACAATTATCTATTTCCTAAATAAGAATTTCACTGACTCTGAGCTGCTTTATTCTCAACTGTCTTGCTGTGTATTCTTGAAGATTCTTATATTACCAGAGAACCAAAAACAAATTCCAACAGCTTACGTGCACAGGGCAACAAAACGGAAAATAAAATGCTTCTTTACTCATCAAGCTGGGAGATGCACTCGCTGAATTTAAATCATATCCCTTCACACCCTACAGATCCTTAAACAAACTGTTTCAAGAAAAACCAAAAGCAGAGCACACTGAGCTGTGCTAGGCGCCGAGTCTCCTTCTTGGCCCCACCGGCTGCAGCCGCCTCCTCACCCCTCAGAGCCCACCACTGCACCGCCCTCTGCACCGGCTCCACACTCCACTCTGCTCCTCTCCCCCCCTCGCCTGAACGGCAGGACTGTGGCGGGTGTGGGGTGCGGGAGAAGGGGGTCGAGGAAGAGATAAAGTATATTTTTTAAATGGAGAGGATGTTTGTACTTTGGCTTTGTTGAAGTCAGAGAAAATGAGGGAGGCCACATTACAGACACAAGCAAACCCCCGCTGAGAGCAGTATCTTGTCCACACAAAGATGGCTGTGAGCCCGAAGATGGCCCCGCCCCCCATGAGCCCGTTACTCAGCCTCGGCCTGCTGTGAACAAGGTGTAAAGAGGCAAGTGTTCAGAGGCACACGAAGCAGACCAATTCCACACGCACTTTGGCCTCAACTGAGAACAATTTTGTGAGAGTAACTGCAATTGGGCTCAGTTACATTTCTAGAAATTGCAGCTAAGGCCATAAAAGTGAATGGTTAGGGGCGAGCACATTTTAAGTTACAGAGCCTTGCAGGCTTTGCTTCCTAGTAAAGACATCTATTAAACCTCAAAGATAAATAGTTGGGCTGATTGTGTGCTCAGATCTGTAATATGTATTTATAATGAACTTACTGCTGGAACAAGATGTTGAATAATTCGATACAAGTGTTCTGTGAAGGTGCTATTCCGTGGGCAACCACTCAAGTTAACTGTAAATTTTCCTAATGGAAGAACGTCTCTTCTTGTATATCTAGAAAAAAAGAAGATATTAACCAATAAGATACCCTGGTGATTTCCACCCAAAAAACAACATGGGAAAATTAGCTTATCACTAAAAATAGGTTCCTCTGAAGTTATTTTATTTATCAGAGTAACAGCAATAAAAATAACAGCCAATACTTACCTGAGTGCGGATTAAGTGCCAGGGATGTTCTGAGTGCTTAAATGCTTTCTCATTTAATCCCCAAACACTCTGAAGTAGGTACTATTACCTTTGTTTAACAGATGAGACAGTTTAGGTAACATGACCGAGTGTACATAGCCAGGAAGTAGAAGAGCTAGGATTTGAACACAGGTGGTTGGTTCCAGAGTCTGTGCTTGCAACCATTACATATCATGTGTCAAATCCTATTCGAGCAGGGACTCACAGCACATGTTTACTGTGGTGTAGTTCAGAATAGAGAAAAAATAGGAAAACCTAACATTTAGGGAAACAGTACAACTGTCTACAATGAAAGATTTTACAGACAACGAAACCGGTGTGGCTCAGTGGATAGCGTCAGTCTGCAAACTGAAGGGTCCCAGGTTTGATTCCGGTCAAGGGCATGTACATTGGTTGTGGGCACATCCCCGGTAGGGGGTGTGCAGGAGGCAGCTGGTCAATGTTTCTCTCTCATTGATGTTTCTAGCTCTCTATCCCTCTCCCTTCTCTCTGTAAAAAAAAAAAAAAAAAAAAAAAAAGGCCTGGTTGATTTTGCTCAAGTGGTTAAGAGCGTCATCGGCCCATGGACTGAAGGGTCAAGGGTTTGATCTGGGTTGCAGGTTCGATCCCCACCCAAGTTGGGGTGTGTGCAGGAGGCAACCAATTGATGTGTCTCTCTCACATCAATGTTTCTCTCTCCCTCCCCCAATCTCTCTAAATTCTCAAAAAAAGAACTACGATGGAATGTTTAATAGATATTAAATGATAAAAGAAAGGTACGGATCTGTGTTTACATTATAACTGAGTTCTATGCAGAAATATATATAAATGTAAACAAAAATAATGACAAGAACATGTACCAAAATGTGTTAATAACTTAGATGATCTCTAAATGGTGAGATTATAGATTATTTCTATTTTCCTCTTTATGCTCTTGGAGCTGGTTGAAGGCACGCATGACTTTTGAAACCAGAAAACAAAGAACTATAGTGACCTGAGAGCAAGGGGTCCTCACATCCACACCTGTTAGATGTGCACACAACAGACTTTGTTGACTGTTAATTAGAGAATTAAGAATGCAAAAAGGGCCGAAACCGGTTTGGCTCAGTGGTAGAGCGTCGGTCTGTAGACTGAAAGGTCCCAGGTTCGATTCCGGTCAGGGGCATGTACCTTGGTTGTGGGCACATCCCCAGTAGGGGGTGTGCAAGAGGCAGCTGGTGGATGTTTCTCTCTCATCGACGTTTGTAGCTCTCTGTCTCTCTCCCTTCCTCTCTGTAAAAATCAATATATTTTTTTAAAAAATTAAAAAAAAAAAAAAAAGAATGCAAAAAGGATAAGACAGTTCATTTTACTCATCAGCCAGGTCCTTTATCTGATACTAGAGGCTCAATGCATGAAATTCATGCAAGGGGCTTGCCCCTGGCAGCCTCGTCCGGACAGTTGCTCTGCTGTTCAGTCTAATTAGCGTATCAGCTCTTTATTATATAGGATTGGCCCTTAAATTTAAAAAGAACATCAAAATGCTCAATGTGAACTGAGAAGAGATGGAAAAAGGACTCTGCCAGTTAATTTGGTCTAACATTCATTACAAATGAAAACCACGTGATGATGAAATCCTCAGAAACCTTCCTCTCTCCCCCTTTCAACAAAGCACCAGCTCTCGCCATCCCCACCAGGAACATAGCACTTACACTGTAGAGATGAGATGTAATATCAGGTATTCAGCAGCCAAACTATCTCCCAAAAGGGCATGCGTGAGGAACCCAAGCAGTTCTGCTCTGACTGGAGACAATTCGGACATGAAGCTTGAAACAACTGGAGAAGGAAAGGAGACCTGATTTAGAATAAACACAGCAGTTCCTCTCGAGTGCTTCAGGTTAAAAAGGTAACTGCGGAACAAAACCCACTCCAAGTCAGTATATTGTCCAGACTCTAATGAAGAGAATTATCCTACAGGATAAAGGGGCAAAGAACCAGTGGCCATTCTGACCAACAAGAACCTGACTCAGTTTCCCCACGAGCACACGTCACAGGCGGCCCCCGACACACACTGGGACATCTGGGTCCCGCGTTGGCACTTACACTTACAGGTTTTGCTCTCCTCTTTGTTCAGGGAGGCCGGCAACAATGGGTTGATGTGTTGCAACTTCTGGGCTAAAACCACATGAATTCTTGGCACCAGCGAGGCGGGAGGACTGTGCACCCTCTGTTCTTCGGCCATGTCCGCGCATTCCATCGGGTCCAGGAGTGACCCAGCGTCCCTGCGGAGAGGGACAGCGCTTCAGCTCTGATACGCCCGTTTCAGAGATGTAACAATAACGTACATCTTAGGGAAAAAATGAGAATTCAAGCCAAGAACAGTTTTACCTGTACATCTTTATTTATTATTATTTTTTTAATATATTTTATTGATTTTTCACAGAGAGGAAAGGAAAGGGATAGATAGCTAGAAACATCGATGAGAGAGAATCATCCATCAGCTGCCTCTTGCACATCCCCCACTGGGGATATGCCCGCAACCAATGTACATGCCCTTGACCGGAATCGAACCCGGGACCTTTCAGTCCGCAGACCGATGCTCTACCACTGAGCCAAACTGGTTTCGGCTACCTGTACATCTTTAAACACACACACACACACGCACACAAAAGGGAAAATGGCTCCCCCTTCGTTGCCTCACACATTTCAGGCTGGGGGGGATCATGTTATGGTAGAACGTACTCATCCTTAACTCCAAGAAGAGTAGCATTTGTACTTGGTATGCTGTCACCTGACTCAATGGGATATCGTTTGTCTACTCACTAGTCATTTCAAAACACAGACTTTCTTGAGCTACCAGCTGGAACATCACATGTCACAGAAGATCTCAGAAACCGGGGTCTTTTTCTCAAAAGCCATCAGGTATCTATTATTCATTCTATTCTAGCCTGTTAATTATTAGTCATAAAAAAAAAAAAAAGAACAGAAAGACTCACCTTTCATCGTTGTTCAGTACACTTAGCACGGGATCCACAGACAGGATGCCATATAACTCAAGAACATCATTCACTTTGAAACAATCCCCATCTTCATAGATCTAATGAGAGGCAACATGACATCGTGTTGTTAGGACTAAATAACACCGACAAAGCAGAAGGTATTGGTCGTGAAATAAATACTATCATAACTTTAGAGAGAGAGAGGAATAACCCCTTTGCTTCACAAATTGAGGCCAAGAGAGGCAAGTGCTTGCCTGAAGTCATTCTTCTAGTTAGCAAGTAAGTTAATTAAAATGGAGGAACCCTGACGCTCTGACCAACACGTTTTCAACATAGCACACTACAAAGGAGAGGCTTTCCCCAAAGGATGGTTATCGACAAAACCAAAAACATGCATAATCTCAAAATCTATTGCCCATATCAAAGACGGGGAAACATAAAAACAGGGTTAAGAGATTAACAAAAATTTAGATTGGCCATGAGGTCTTTCACTATAAAAAAAAAACTTTCAAAGTTCTACACCATGATGGTCTTTAATAACCGTCAAAGCCCCCTATAGGGGAAACCCAATACGTATAAGTACAGCAGGAGAAACACTGGGGTCTGGTCCTCGGTTACGAAGTGTCATTAAAGCACGTGTGTGTGAAAGTTCACCTTCACGAGGCACGCGGGGCCCTTCTCCCCTGGCAGTGGGAAGTTCAGGTCAAAAGGAGACGAGAGGTTCAGGGGGCTCAGCTGCTGTCCGGTAGAAGCTTCAGTTTCCAGGCGTTTTGGCTCACCACACCCCTGAAGACTGCCGCCGCTCCCTGAGTCAGAGGGAAGCAAGCATCGCAGTCATTTCTAGGCGTCCTGCAGATAAAGGCCCTTCCTCAGGAGCGTTTCGCGCTTGATAGAAAGGATGCTCCTGAGCTCACAGACTTGTTAGTTTTAAGGAAATAACACATATCAGCAAAGCCCTTTCTCTGACTTATAAGTAGAACACAGATTATTATAATCTGGAAAATTTAGTCATTGTTTCTCCTACAATCAAATGGCAACAAATCCCCCCCATCAGATTCCAGGGTAAGTATTTTTAAAAGTTAACATTAAGATGGTTTCTTCGACATCTCTGACCGAAGGCATATATGGCCTCTGACAACAGAACCACCTGGTAGAACAGCTTCCTACTTCTAAGCAGATTAAACCAGAGCAATAAACTCACTCACCAAGCAGTTATTAACATCCACTATGTACCAGGAATCATACTAGTGATTGGGGATACAAAGATGATTAAAAGAGGGGCTCAAGCCTGGAAATAATCGGTTTAGGGCAGATGACTAATTAGAATCAACATATAGCCTGCCACACCACAGGATACTGCTCAGCAATAAAAAGAAATAAACTGCTGACACACAACAGCTTGGATGGATCTCAGGGAATGTTGCTGAATGAAAAATGTTGATCCATAAAGTTTACCTACTGTCAGATTCTATTTTTATAACATTCTTGAAATGACAAAGTTATAAATTTTTTTTATTAAATATATATTTTATTGATTTTGTACAGAGAGGAAGGGAGAGAGATAGAGAGTTAGAAACATCGATGAGAGAGAGTCATCGATCAGCTGCCTCTTGCACACCCCCTACCGGGGATATGCCTGCAACCAAGGTACATGCCCTTGACCGGAATCGAACCCGGGACCTTTCAGTCCCCAAGCTGACGCTCTATCCATTGAGCCAAACCGGTTTCAGCAAAGTTATAATTTTTTTTAAATATACCTTATTGAAGTCTTTTAGAGAGGAATCGAACCTGGGACCCTTCAGCCCTCAGGCCGACGCTCTATCCACTGAACCAAACTGGTTTTGTGGAATGACCAAGTTATAGAGATGGAGAATAGATTAGTGGTTACCAGGGGTTAAGGACTAGGGGATGGACAGCAGAGGCAGGAGAGAGGTGGGCATGCTTATAAAAGGGCAATATGAAAAGTCAAGTAAGCACTTGTCCCGTATCTTAACTGTAGTGGTGGGCACATGAATGTACGGGTGTGATGAAATTGCAAAGAACTGAATATGCGCGCACAGATGCCTGTAAAGAATGTGAATTCTGAAAAAGGTCAATGGACTGTATCAATGTCCACTTCCTGGTCATGATATTCTACTATAATTATACAAGGTGTTACCTCTGGGGGAAATGGGTCAAGAGTATACAAGATCTCTCTGTATTATTTCTTACAACTGCTTGTGAATCCACACTTACCTCAGAAAAAGTTTAAAACTATTTATAGCCTAAAAGATTGCCTAGAAACCAACAAGTAAACTTTACAATAAATACTATACTCAAATAAAAAACTAAAAGCCCAGCAGTATGACATTCAAGCAATCAGACAAGAAAAAGATGTGAGAACCAATTGCTTAAATGAAAAGCATTACCAAAGACCTGGATTTTACCCTTTATTGTTATGATACACCACTAATTTCAATAACCATTTGGGTAGGTGGAGAAAAAGAGTACATTTATATATGTTTACTGACAACATTAAAATTTTGAAGACATTAAAATATTCCTTAGCATTAAGGAAAGACAGTAATATGAACTTACCCTATATAATAAAAGGGTAATATGCAAATTGACCAAAGGGTGGGACAACTGGTCTCTATGATGTACACTGACCACCAGGGGGCAGACACTCAATGCAGGAGCTGCCCCCTGGTAGTCAGTGCGCTCCCGATACTCGGCAGAAGCTGGGCTCGTGGCTGGCAAGCGCAGCAGCGGTGGTGGGAGCCTCTCCCGCCTGAGGCCACACTAAGGATGTCCGACTGTCCCCCTTGGGTTCCCAGACTGTGAAAGGACACAGGCCCAGCTGAGGGACACACACCTCCCCTCCCCCTGCACACACAAATTTCATGCACCGGGCCTCTAATAAAATACGAGAATAATATATTGTTAAATGAAATTCATTAGTAACTTTTTGTTTATAAACTGACTCGTATTTGCCCTCTTGACCCAATCATACAGAGATCAATAAACTAAATTTGTTTTCCTTCCTCTCTCTTTAACGTGCCCTCTAATTAAAGGTGCTGAAAAAAATAATTGAACATAAAAGGAGAAATAAAGACAAACTTATCTACCTGGCATAATAAAGAAATTCACCATGCATAAAAACTATGGTGAAATCAATAATGGTATACCAATTCTGACATTCCCTTATGCCTTTAGAAAATTTTCAACTTCTTGTCTCTTTGTGATCATACCTACCTGTCTGTTTGGCACCCGCATGCTGCTCTTTCTGTTTGTTAGGCTGCAGGTCCATGTCTTCGTCATCTTCATAACTCCTCTTGTGACGACTGGGAGTGTAAGATGTTGAAGGACTGACTCGAGCTTGGTTTGCATTAATATAGGCGTTAAACAAAAGGTTAAGGAAAAGACCACTATGTACTAAGTTAATTATATGACTAATAAAAGATTGCTAATTTGGCAATTTGCTTAAAATAAAAAAATTGTTTTTAAAGGCTGGACTTCCAGATTTGGTCATGAGAGGCTACTATTAAGCTTAATTTATGCCCCTACTACTGCTGCTGTAAAGAATTGTAAAAATGGACAAAAGACATGAAGCAGCTATTTCTCTTTTTCATTTGTTTTGTTAATCCTCACTCCGCCGAGGACATTTTCCAATGATTTTCTTAGAGAGAGTGGAAGGGAGGGGAAAAGACGGAGAGAGAGAGAAAGATCGATGTGAGAGAGACACAGCAATTGGTTGTCTCCCACACATGCCCCAACCAGGGCTGGGGATCGAGTCTATAACCAAGGTACATGCCCTTGACTGGAACTGAAGCTGGGACCCTTCAGACTGCGGGCTGATACGCTATCTACTGAAACCAACCGGTTAGGTCTGTTGTCTATCATTAGACATCAGAGAGCATAAGGTTATGATCCTTGACTGAGTAATATAACGGGTGAACTCCACTTTATCCCCATCTCCCTCTAAGGGGCATTTTCTAAATCGCACCAAAAAGAAGTGGAGACCCATCTCTTGCTGGGTAGAGACAACATAGTTCAGGGCTATGGGTATAAAAAGCTATGGTATTGCAGACAGGGACCGGAGGGAAAGGAGGTCCCTGCCGAAGACAGAAGAGGACCCAGAAATCTGTGCAGGTTCCATCTGGGTCTCTGGCTGAATATAAAAGGGTGGATTCCTTGAGGTCTAGCAGAGAACAGCTGCTGGTTGGCTAGGAGCTAAATGAAGGTTCTGGAAGTTGCATAACACTTAGAACTGGACCCCACTGAACATACCGGGCACTTAGGTGAGACCCAGGAATAGCACATGGCACGAGTAAGAACTGCCATGCAGCAAGCCTACTCCAAACTCACCGTAACGAACCTCAGAACCGAGCTTGGACATTCAAGAACAGACGTGAGGAAGCTATGGTGGAAAAGCAGGACAGTGGTTGCGAGGGAGGGGAGTGGTGGCTAGAAGCAGAACTTCCTGGCACAAGTTCTTCACTTTGAGACATAAATCACTGGTGTGTACTCTTAAAACCTATGCATTTCAGTGGATATAAACTATGCTTAAAAACATTACTAACTGAAACTTCAAATAAGAAAATGAAAACGAGATGAAGAGTTTCCACAATCTCCTCTCAAAAGAACCAATGTATTTTCCCTTAAGAAAATTAGAATTAGTTGCAATTTAAAACTGTTAACTTAATTATCATGTTCTCTTTTTTTTTCTTTAATATAATTAAATCTACCTTCACATTTTAACAGTATTTCAATATAGAAATGTACCAATTTTATCATTTCTCAGGGATGAATACTTAGATTGCTTTACAGGGTTGTTTTTTGTTTGTTTTTGTTTTCCCCCAGTAGCTTCACTGCGATAAAAAGACTGTTTTTAAAAACTCAATCTAAATTATGGTCTTTTCAATTAAAATAATCAAGGACTATAATAAGAAAGTTCAGATAAAGGATATTTCTTTCACCCACACAGATTCCCCAGGCACTGGAACACAATAGAAATTCTGTCTTTCCAAAGTGGTAGTTCGTGGAGAGTTTAAATCAACTTCTTGCTGAGGCTGTGATGTACACAAAAGTATTTTTAAAAGTTTATTAAGAAAAGCAAAACAATTTTTAACTTAGCAACTACATTTTTATGCTATTTACTATAAAACAATAGTTAATTATTTCATTGCGTTAACTGAATTAACAAGCAGCTAACTAAATCCAAACTATCACTTTTTAAAAGAAAACTGATATAAAAATAATTTTACGAGCAATAATCAAAACACTACCTTCCCTCAAATCAAAATACACAGCACCCTGTATGTTACAAAATTAAATCCTTTTTAAAAAATATATATATTTTATTGATTTTGTACAGAGAGGAAGGGAGAGAGATAGAGAGCTAGAAACATCAATGACAGAGAGTCATCGATCAGCTGCCTCTTGCACACCCCCTACTGGGGATGTGCCCGCAACCAAGGTATTACATGCCCTTGACCGGAATCGAACCCGGGTCCCTTCAGCCCCCAAGCCGACGCTCTATCCATTGAGCCAAACCGGTTTTGGCAAAATTAAATCTTTTAATAAACAGGGTGCTTTATTTATTTATCTTTTTAAGACAAAGCACATGGTAACCCCACTGTCTCTTTCATAAAAAATATATCAGAATCAGCCTATATAAAAGGAATTTAATGAAATGCTCATTACGAGGTAGCTCTGAGATGCGAGCCAAGACTCAGCTAATATTCCCTAAAAAAAGCATATTCTCTATTTCATATGTGCTTAGAAAGTGCTAAAGGACCCAATATGTAACATTTAAAAATTACTTTAATAAACATAATTTTATAGTACAAAAAATCCTCTTAAAATAAAGATGTATATTTAGTTTTGTAGAGGGGGAAAAAGAGGATCCAAAAGACATCAGGTTTGAGCCTGAGATAATCTGTATAAGCAGGGTTTTCTGTTTCTTTCTTTCCAGGGCTGAAGTCCCCTTTTCCTGGTACGGTGCTGTTACTATGACACGTTAGCCACACGGTACGGACTATCTTTGCCTTTGGTAGTGTCACCAATGGATGGCCACACCTGTTTTATTTTCCTGTCCCAGGTACTGATGACTGAGCTGTAGTCAGACTGCATCACTGGGCACCAGAAAAAGTTAGGTATTAAAACATCAGCCTCAATGAGAGTTAGGGCTCCTAAATCAGGAGATGCAGTAAGCATTTAAAATTGATTTGTCAGACTTGGGAGACATTTTACCGATGGAAACACTCTGAACAAAACTACCCTGGGAGACCTGAAGGTCATCATGTGTAAGATAAAAAAATCATCTTTCATGAGTCCATTTCTCTAAATAATTGTAGGAAGTTAAATTTTTGTTTAATAAAATCTTTTCAGCAACCTTTCAAATAAGGGGTGTCCTTCTGTCCAGATCGGGCCAATGAACCGGAACACTTTATTCAATAAGGAAGAACTTCTGTGAGTGAATGGGCTGGGATTAGGCTTCATTTTTTTCACGCTGCAAGTCTGACTTTGCTTACTCAAACCTCCAGTTTAATCTCTTGAGCTTTGAGTAAGCAAAGTCAGACTCGCAGCATGAAAAAAGCTCTGGAAAACCTGATTTACAAGGATGGTTTGCGAGGCAGAGCATTAGACCAGAGCTCCACCGAGGTCCCACCTTCCTCCTGAGCCCTGCCTGAGCTCCTGCCTCCTCCATCTCCGCCTGTGACACTTGTTTTCCTTCCCAAAATGCACAACTGCGGTCTGTGCTACAACAGGACCACATGGAAAACAAAGACAACCAATATGGGGACATCTGAGGCTGATGTATCTGTTTTGAAATGCCGATAATATTTTTCTACTATTAAACTAGAAATAAATTTTAAGCTGTTCCCAGTTATAATGCCAGGTATGTTGAACAGGTTTCTTTGTGACATTGAATTTAATTATGCATGTTGCTCATGATCAGAAAAGCAGTTGTTTAAAATGTATTCCACTGTAACTGCTTTATAACAAGTTCCTGCCCCTTCCACATCTGTAACTGCTCCTGGATCCTGCCTTCTCACCTTTCCCACCACTGACACTTCAGAGAGCAGCCAGTGCTTCCTTTCATCAAAGAAGGCTTAAGTTTATTAAAAACTGTGTTCCTTCCAGGAAAAGAGAGCAGAACTTGATCCAATTTAATTAAGCAAGTGTTGAGCCCCAAGTTAATCTTCCACTTTCATTTTTTAAAGAAATTATCACAACTTGTAATTTTTTAAAACAAGTACATAGATACTAGGAAAAGAAATAAATTAGTTTGTCATTTATAACATTCCACATTCTAAGAGATTTTAGAAGACCAAAAATATAAAAGAGAAAAGAGCAAAAGCATTCCACATGACTTCTTAGGATTTATTTATACACACGATAAATTTAAGTAAACCAAAAGAAACCAATGAATTCTAAGTTTAGAAAAAAATTCTTATTAAAAATGTTTTATGGATCTTAAAAATACATACCCCACATTCTGCTATGTCTCTGTATTTCCCAAAATGAAGAACCTATGACCCAAACAAAGGATAACAGTATTATAGCAATACATTTAATTCAAAAACACCATAAAATACACTAATTATAAACAGAAAGTTCCATGATAAAAAGCCATACGTACACGTGCTTTTGTGTTTCGGTTCACTGTTTCATAAACTCCCATGTAAAACTCAGGGTCAAACATATCCTGAATCATGCAGCGAAACTTCACAAAACTGTTAGGTTTCAAGTAATGAAGGGGAACCTCATTCAGTGATGGTACCTTCAAGGAAAATGACTCATCAGTACGGTAGTCTGTCTATACAACATTAGGCTCAAATACACACACAGACCCAAACCGCAACACAGGCACAAAGCCAGCCCCATTAGGAAGCCAATATTCTCAATACATAGTCAGCATAGCAGCTGGACAAAAGTACCTCCGAGTTCTTCCAACTTTGTGTAATGGCATTTGACTACATTGTAAAAATAAATGCATTTCCTGTGAACACTTTCCAAGTAGCAGAAAGGCATTTGTCTTACTGAGCTCCTTTTAAGACTAGTACGTGCTGCTCTGTCTTCAGTTTGGAGGTCACAATCTGCACACCAAAGGGTCGAAGGTTCAATTCCCAGTCAAAGTGCATATGGGAGGCACCTGACTGATATTTCTTTCTCCCTCTCTCTCTCTCTCTCTCTCTCTCTCTCTCTCTCTCTCTCTCTCTCTCTCTCTCTCTCTTCCCCCCCCCTTCCTCTCTCTAAAAAGCAATAAAATTTTTTTTTAACCCTGACTGGTTTAGCTCAGTGGATAGAGCATCAGCCTGTGGACTGAAGGGTCTCAGGTTCAATTCCAGTCAAGGGCATGTACCTTGGTTGCGGGCACATCCCCAGTAGGGGGTGTGCAGGAGGCAGCTGATCGATGTTTCTCATCAGTGTTTCTAACTCTCTATCGCTCTCCCTTCCTCTCTGTTTAAAAAAAAAAAAATCAATAAGGGATATTAAAAAAAATTTTTAAAGAGTAGTACATGCCAACTTTTAAAAATAAATAATAATTAAAGCTCACAACTACCAATTTTTTTGTTTTAGAAAGTAACACGGTCAGTTACTGCCATCTAGAGGCACCAATACAGAAACATTTAATTGCCTGATTTTAAATTTAAGTTGTAAAAGAGACCCAAATCTTTTAATATATATGTACTTAAAGCACTTAAAGCTGAAGGTAGTACACATTAATTTACATATTTTAAAATTATATATGGATAACAACTCTACTAAGAGAATCTGGCCATCTGTCCCACCTTCTTCCCCCACAAAGAGCAATAAGCTTACCCATTTAGGAGCATTATTTTCTTTCAGCTTTTCCTTAAAATATTCAATTACTTTCTTCTCCCAGTCAGGATTAACTCCATTTTGGGCTGAAAGACAAATATACTTTTCAAATGTCAAGCTACACTATAGAATAATAGGCTGTTGAGGTAAGTGCACAGCCAAGACAAGAAGCTGCCCACCGGGAAGTGGCAGTCACTCATGTGTACAAATAGGCTTCTTTAGTAAAGGCCAGCTTGCAAGTATCTGGTATTGCTGGACAATTAAAGGACTGCCTTAGACAATCCCAAAAAAGAAAAAGAATCAAGCACACAGTAACTGTCCATTACTTATTAAGCCTATCGTATACCCAGCACTCTGCTAAGTTCTATAAGGACACTTAGGGTGGAAGGAACTTAAAGATAAGCTATGTGATAGATAGAATAACAGCCAAAAGCCAAGGAAAAAAACACCACCACCACCTCATGCAGGCCAAACAATCTCAGAGAGAGCTTCTGATGGAGGTGGTATTGAGCTGGGCCTTCAAAGAGAATAGAACTAAGACATGCTGAAGTACCGGGGAGTGGCACACTCTGGATCTGGTGGGCCGTGAGGTCTGAAAGGTTGGCGACCGCTGCTCTAGATCAGTGGTCCCCAACATGGGGCAATTCAAGAAGGAGTTAACAGTACATTTTTTGCATTTCTTATTATTCCAGGGGCCTCAGATACAGTATATAAATATGTATTGTGACAGTTATGCATTTCAATTCTCTATTACGTATTTTGAAACTTATTTTTTCATGTCACTTCATATTATTTTTTAAAGCAATTTCTTAGTGATTTCTTCCTCAGTACTTCAGCTGTCCTTTCGTTCTTTTATTTTTCTCTTTCATGGATGCCATGTTCTTTGGAAGTTTGTTTAGACCAAGTTAATGGCCTTTTAGGCTTCCCCCACATGAATAGGAGCTCGTATTTTGAATAGTAGGAATCATATGTCATGGGGGAGGGATGTCAGAATTTGAGAGATGCTTAGGTTGGGAACTACTGCTCCAGATCAACCAGTGTCCCAAGAATTTTAAAACATGCAGCACCTGACTACTTAGTCAGGGGCACTGATCTCTCTTCCCTTATTGATTGTTGGCTGTCAAATAAAAACATTAAACAGCCAACAATCAATGAACATATACCTGTTGTGTGTGTGTCAGGCAAAAAATATGTATTAGCAATTAATTGATGTGTGTCATGAGATGAAAAAGGTTGAAAGTCACTGCTATAGACTTAGTGCAAGGTCGAGGATGAGCACTACCAGAAATTCAAGTCAGTGGAGCACTAGGTGTCTGGAAGCTGCCGGTGTGACCCAGGTCTGTCTGAAAGCTAAGCCATCCCAGAGAAAAACAGAGTGGAGCCAGATTCCTGCAGACAGTTTAGCTGCTGGGCTGTAATTAAGCCCGACACACTGTTACAAGACATGTATTCCTCTTTCTTGTTTAAGCAGAGCCAGCTGAGTCATTTGCAACCCAGAGTCCTGCTTGGCACACACAGACCTCTCCATCATACCGTGTTTCCCAGAAAATAAGACATCCTCCGAAAATAAGACCTAACACATGGAAAGATAAGACATCCCCTGAAAATAAAACCTAGCGCAACTTTGAGAGAGAAAATTAATATAAGACACTGTCTTATTTTCGGGGAAACAGGGTATTTTCTATGCTTTCTTGGCCATCTGAATTTGAATGCCACTGCACACTAGCTTTAAGGGGTCAGGGAACTGAGGTACTAATTCTTTGTATATTCTAGATGTAAGTCTTTGGTCAGATATATGTAAGGCAAATGCTCTTTCCTAATCTGTAACTTTCTTAACAATCTTAATGCTGTCTTTTGATGAGTTTTTGATGTTGATAAAATCCAACATATCAGCTTTTTCTTTAATGGCCACTAACCCCAAGTTCATAAAGATATTCTCTTAGATTTTTCATTTTTCATATTGAGGTCTTTTTCCAAAAAGATTATACTTGTCAAACCAGCATTATTTTAAAAACTTTCTAAACTAAATTACTTTCACACTTTTGTCAACAATCAATTCACTGTATTTGTTAGTCTATTTCTAGATTCTCTATTATGTTACATTGATCTACCTGTCTACCCTTATAGTATTACTATACTGCCTTAATCACTATAATTTGATAGTAAGTCTTAAAATCAGGTAGTTAAGTTCTTCCAGTTGTCTTATTCTAATCCTCAACATTGCTACATAAATCTGAGAACCAACTTAACTTCCATATATAAAATTTTGATTAGTGCCGAAACCGGTTTGGCTCAGTGGTAGAGCGTTGGTCTGCGGACTGAAAGGTCCCGGGTTCGATTCCGGTCAAGGGCATGTGCCTTGGTTGCGGGCACATCCCCGATACGGAGTGTGCAAGAGGCAACTGGTTGATGTTTCTCTCTCATCGACGTTTCTAGCTCTCTATCTCTCTCCCTTCCTCTCTGTAAAAAAAAAAAAAAAAATCAATAAAATTTTGATTAGAACAGTGTTGAGTTTATAGATTAATTTAAGGAGAATTAATATCTTAATACATTTTCGCCCAGCCATTATGACTCAATGGTTGAGCATCAACCCATGAACCAAGAGGTCACTGGTTCGATTCCTGATTAGGGCACTATCCCCAGTAGGGGCCATGCAGAAAGTAGTTGACTGATGATGTTGCTCTCATCGCTGTTTCTAATTCTCCCTCTCCCTTCCTCTCTCCAAAAATCAATGAAATGTGTTTTTTTTTTTAAATAACATCTTCCAATCTATGAACTCTCCCAGGGAGAAAGCATTAAGAAGCCTGCATATGGATTCTTCAACTCTATCTGTGTCTTTTCCCAGCTATCTATCCTCACTACACTGCTGTAATAAATCTTAGCATGGACCCACGAGTCCTACTGAATCTCTAAGGCCAGGCGTGTATCAATAGTTCATTTATTTTTATTGTTAAATAGTATTCCACTGTATGGCTGAACCATTAATTTGTCCAATTAGCTATTGGACAGATTGTCCCCGAGTTTTGATAACTAAGAACAAAACAAGTATAAACATGTGCATGTAGGTTTGTGTGTAAACATAAGCCTTAATTTCTCTAGGCAAAAACCTAGGAATGGGAGAGTTGGCATATGGGAAATGTGTGCTAACTTTATGACTGTTTTCCAGAGTGGCTACTTCATTTTGCATTCTCACTGGCAATGTATGAGAATCTAGCCATTTATATCTTTGCCAGTGCTTGCTACTGTTTCCCCGAAAATAAGACATCCTCCGAAAATAAGACCTAGCACATGGAAAGATAAGACATCCCCTGAAAATAAGACTTAGCACAACTTTGGGAGAAAAAATTAATATAAGACACTGTCTTATTTTCAGGGAAACAGGGTATTGTCACTATTTTTTTTTTCCAATTGTAGTTGTTCTAATAGGTGCTGATAAAGTGTCTATTTAAATCTTTTGCTCCCTTTTAAAATTGTGTTTTCTTTATATAATCTAGATACAAATTCTTTTATGAGATACGTGATTTTCAAAAAACATTCTCCCAGTTCATAACTTATTTTTTTTTTCTTTTTTCTTTTTTTTTTTTTTTTTTTTTTCTTTTTTCTTTTTTTTTTTTTTTTTTTTTATTGATTTTACACAGAGAGGAATTGAGAGGGACAGAGAGTTAGAAATGTCGATGAGAGAGAAACATCGACCAGTTGCCTCCTGCACAACCCCCACTGGGGATGTGCCTGCAACCCAGGTACGTGCCCTTGACCGGAATCGAACCCGGGACCTTTCAGTCCGCAGGCCAACGCTCTATCCACTGAGCCAAACCGGTCCCGGCCATAACTTACCTTTTCATTCTCCTAATAAATATCTTTGGCATAACAAAAGGTTTTATTTATTTAATCCTCACCCAATGAGACTATTTTTTCCATTGATTTTTAGAGAGAGTGGAAAGGATGGGGGAAAGGGAGAAAAAGAAACATTAATGTGTTAGAGACACATTAAATGGTGCCCCAACTGGGGGTGGAGGATTAAAAGTGCAAAGAAGGTATGTGCCCTTGACCCGAGAATTGAACCTGAGACTCTTTGGTCCATGGCTGATGCTCTAACCCACATGTGTCAAACACAAGGCCCGCGGGCCAAATCCGTCCCACCAGGCCTTGCAATGTGGCCAGCACCAGGCTGTTTTCACTGCACTCCACTGAGTTTCCATCACAATGACAGTTTATGACTGTTCAGTAAACCATTCGGCCCGCGATTTAGGCTGGATTTTAGATTTTGGCCCCTTCTCTGATTGAGTTCGACACCCCTACCACTGACCCAAACTGATCAGGGCAGAGAAGTTTTTCATTTTGATAATGCCTAATTTATCAAATTTTTGTTTTATGTATTGTGTATGTATAAGAATTCACTGTGAAATCCTGGGTCTTATGGTATAGAGTTTCTTTTTTGGGGAAATCTAAATGATAGTGATTGCACACCATCGTGAATATATTAAAAACCAATGAACTTAAATTTTAAAGTGGTGAATATTATGAGCTACACCTCAATGAAAAACTTTGCAAAAAAAAAAGAACTAAAAGCAAAAACAGTTAAAAATGATTACCTCAGTACGGGAAGGGCATACTTTTACTCTTCATTTAATACCACTATGTTTTTCGTAAGCATGTGCCAGTTATTATGTAATGAGTTTAAAAATGCATATTTACATATTTATGCCTTTTGCCATAGCTGCCCCATCCATTCTTCTCTGAGAACTTTGCGGCCCCCTCCCGCACCCCCCCCCCCCCGGGTGTGGGCCTCAACAGTCATGTCTGCCTACATAGCCTAACATAGCTGTGCTCTGGCCACAGCTGACTCGTGTGGGAGTGGACTCCTGACTCCATAGTTTCTCTAACCCTGGAATTTGGGGTTAAATGGGAGTGCTAACTAGTGTGAGTTGAAACTAAGAACAAGTGAATTTGGGAGCTCTGGAGAAGAGGTAAAGTTGGACTGGATTCTTGCTAGTTTCCCATCCTGACACACTCAGGAGTCTCTCTGGATACCAAGCCACCCTCCCTTGTTTTGGGGTTCCACAGCCTCATAACAGATCCCTTCTTATCAGTGGCTACCCAGGGTGTGATGGCAGGAGAAATCCAAGGTGGATACAAACAAAAGGATATTAATTGCCTGTTTAGAATCATGGTGACGATAAAAAGGCATCCCAACTTTCAATCAATTTTCTTACTGCTTAAATTCTCTAAATACTAGAAAATACTCCTTCCTGCCGTCCTTCACATACCACTGCTTTTTTGTAGGAGATACAATCAAAGTACCTTGAATATAACCAAAAATGATTATCTTGACTCACCCAACAATTAAAAAAGAAAACAATAAAAGTCAGAGTTGACAAGCATTCCTACTTCTGAAATTAACAGTGGCTATTAATTCAAGTTTTTAATCAATTTAAATAAAGAAATTTTCTTTTAAATAAAAAATGATTAAAAGGAAAAAAAAGTGTACAAAACTTCCTTTTTTGGAGATTCCTGCCTTTGCTTGAGGAAAGCACGTTGGTATGGATCACGAAATGAGCGGCAGCTGGGGGCTGACTAGCATTATACACATCACAGAGCCCAATGGAAGCATTCCCAAATCTTCACTTAAGCCTAGGACCTCAATGTCCTGCATATAAAGAACTGAAACATTAAATGCATTTTATGAAGGCTTGCAGAAAAAAACTTTACACATGAACAATTATAATACGGCCAATACAAATTCAAAGTACAGACTGGTTCACAAAGATAAATGAAGACTCATATAGTTATGAGTAGCCACTCAAAGAATTTCAAAGTTTCTTATCTGAGCCAAGAAGAACTAGGACTTCTATATAAAAGTAATTCATATGGGACATGCTCACAAATTCTCTGTATAAGTACCGCGCGCTAACCGATTGCGCCACTGGAGCTTCAAATTCTCTGAATCAATCAATATAAGGTCTGCCAGGACTGACTTAAGTTTGAGATGTGTGGTCCAGAAACCATCCACTGCCTCTGTTCAGCTAATGCCACCTAGCACTTCCGATGTGCAAAGCATATGCCAGGCAATGAGGAATGTCCGTGAATAAGGCAGCTACAGACCAAGACCGCTCAGAGTCAAAATTCAGCAAAGGAACCAGAACAAGTAATTTCAACAACGCGCTTTACGTGCTAACTTCCAGGACACACAGGGTCCTGGAGTAACTCAAGCAGAAGTCCTTATGTTCCCAAAGGAAGAGTAAGATTTAGCCGGGGAAGTGAAGTGGGATGGGAGGGAGGGACCAGGCAAAGGGAACATCTGATGCAGAAGGCCCGAAGGCAAGGCTCAAAGTCAAAGTGAAATGCAAAGTGAAAGTTCCGTGTGAGGGCCATGTGGTGGTGAATCTGAGAGTCAGGCAGGGGGAAGCAAGGAGGCCATGAACCACAACAAAGTTGCTGCATTATTTTCCTATGGAGGGGTCAAGGGGAGGAATAGATTTAAACAATGTCCTACTAAACCAGAAAGAGTTTAGAAGTTTAACACCTGACATACTTCTCACTCAAACATACCCATAGTGCTGTTTTATAAAGTTATTCAATACATTCCCAAGTGACAGGAAAATACAGCAATATATATACACACACACACACACACTATACTTCAAAACAGCCTCTATAAATTTTTTTTTAAGAAATCACACCAACCCAGTATTAGTTTCTTCTCTGTAAGACACACCTTATATAGGAACAAATTATTCTTGGGGGGGAGAGGATCAAGGTCCAGGTCCCCACAATTCACAAAATTTTCCAACTGCTGTAAAGCCAGTGCGTTTTACCTAAATTGTATCATTTCTGTACCATGATGAGATGTGCCCCTTAGGATTATACACTTAGGAGACAAAATCGATACAAATGTTAATTTGTTAAATTACCCTCCCCATATCTTAGTTATGCTGAATAAGTGAGGTGGTTTATTATTTGATAGAGATTTGATAGGTATTTCTCATAAGTAAATGTTCTAAAGATCAGTAACTGGAACTGCCCCCATTAGGCACCAAAAGTTTACACTTTTGAAGGGTTTTTCACATAAAGTCTCTGTGAGTCTGCACCCAGATAAGCCAACGATGCAATTTAACCTTCACTCCACATTTTGGATATCAATTAGGGTTTCCCGTATTATGAACGTCAATTACTAGGATTTGGCAGAGGGATATTTGCCCCTTCCTCAAAGCACCCTTGATGGATAAATGATTTTGTGTGTGTGTAAGTGGTGGTGGTGGGGGGGGGGTGTTAAAATATATATACACAGTTTCCATTTCTCCTTTATCAGGTTATCAGTGTTCACCGGTTACCACGCAGATGCCTACCCAGGATTCCCTCTAATTCGCTGCGTCTAAGTTTCAGCCTGCGAGCCCAGGTAAGGGCCCGGAGTTCCCATTCGGGGAGCTGGCAGAGTGCTGAAACACACATTTCCCACCGCCCGCCCGCCCGGCCCGGAGCGCCGGCCGCTGATTGGCCGCTCCGCCCATCGCCGCCCCACGGGGCTCGGAAGGAGCAGAGGCCACGCTCCGGCCCCGAGTGCCTCCCGGCGGCCGGGCGCTGGGGGTCCCACCCGGGGGCGCCGATGGCGTCTGCCTCCTCGCCGGGCAGCAGGGGAGCTGTCCGGAGGCCGGGCGGACCGTAAACAACCTTAAACTTTAAGTGACCCGCCCCGCGCCCCGGGCAGGACAGCAGCATTCACCGCGGCGACGGCAGCTGCAATGCCCTAGCGCGCCGCGGGTCCCGGCCCTCCGGGCGGGAAGGAGCGGAGCCCGGCGAGCTCTGCACCGGAGGCGGTGCCGGCCGCCCCGGCGGAGAATGAAGCTGTTACAACAAATCTTATCTCGCAAAGGGAGGGCGTGTGTGGCCGCGGCGAGTGCCAACTTCTGCGGCGGGCGGCGCTCCGGCACCGGAAGTTTTGAAACAGCCCGCAGGCTCCGGGGCAGAGCGCCTTCCTCCGCCGCCCCGCGGGCCTCCGGGGTCCCGGGACCGCCCGCTCCGGGCTCGGCCCCGCGGGGCTCGGGCCGCCGGCGGAGCGGCCGGGAGCGCCGCCGTCAATCACGGCGCCCGGCCGGCCGCCCGCTCCTCGCGGCGTCACGGTGGCCGCCCCGCCGGCGGCCGATCCGGCAGGTGGGAGGCACCTGCGGCCCCGCGGCTCCGGGGCCGGCGTCTGGGCGCCGGCGGGCAGGCCGGCCGCTCCGTCTGGGCCGCGCGTGCCCCGAGGCGGCCGCTCCGCGCGGCGCGATGCGGCCCGGCGCCCGGCCCCCGGCCCCGGCCCCGGCCCCGGCCCCCGAACTCGGCGCCGCCGCCCGCCGCCCGCACTCACCGAAGAAGCCCTGCACGATCCCGAGCGGGTGGCTCAGCCAGTCCTCCCCGCACGGCATCTCGCCGGGCGGCGTCCCGCGCCGCGGCGCCTCCTCAGGGCTCGGCCGCTGCTCGCCGCGCCCTCCCACGCAGGCGGCACGCGGGGCGCGGGCCTCGGGGACCGCGGCGGCGGCGGCGGGAGCTGCGGCCGCGGGAGGCTGCGCGTCCGGCCCCCCAGCCTCCACTTCGCACAATGGCGGGAAATAGGCGCCGCCGCCGACCGCGCTGCTGCCGGCCTGGGTGGAGCTCGCGCGGAAGGGGCGGCGGGCGCGCGCTGCGCGGCCCCGCGCACGAGGAGGCGGGGCGGCGGGGGCGGGGCGGCCGCGGCCCACGTGACGCGCCGCGCCGCCATCTTGGAAGCGGGCAGAGGGCGAGCGGGCGGGCCGGCCTCGGGGAGGCGGGCCGGGCCGGCGTCCGGGCGGCGGGCTGAGCCGGGGCGGCCTCTGCACCCGGGCCGGTGAGAGGGAAGCTCCTGGCGAGGCCGTGCTGGGGCGGAGGCACCACCCGCAGCCGCGACCTCCGAGTCCTCTGCGCGAAACTAGTGGGGGCAGCAGCCTTCAGGGCCCGCCCACCTCCCCCCCGCCATGACTGCACACCCAGATCAATCTATGATAATCTTTTAATGAGGAAATTTGGGAAATAGCCAAGTTCAGTATGTTTTCCCTGGAATGTGCCTGGGCCAACGCCAATCTCCTCAGCTGGAAAAGGACGTGTGAACAGGAGGGGGGTCCGACATGTGAACAGGTGGGGGTCCGACATGTGAACAGGAGGGGATCCGACATGTGAACAGGAGGGGGACCTGACATGTGAACAGGAGGGGGGTCTGACATGTGAACAGGAGGGGGATCTGACATGTGAACAGGAGGGGGACCTGACATGTGAACAGGAGGGGGGTCTGACATGTGAACAGGAGGGGGTCTGACATGTGAACAGGAGGGGGACCTGACATGTGAACAGGAGGGGGTCCGACATGTGAACAGGAGGGGGACCTGACATGTGAACAGGAGGGGGGTCTGACATGTGAACAGGAGGAGGACCTGAAATGTGAACAGGAGTGGGTCTGACACGTGAACAGGAGGGGGTCTGACACGTGAACAGGAGGGGGGCTGACATGTGAACAGGAGGGGCTGACATGTGAACAGGAGGGGGTATGACATGTGAACAGGAGGGGGGGTCTGACATGTGAACAGGAGGGGGTCTGACATGTGAACAGGAGGGGGTCTGACGTGAACAGGAGGGGGGGCTGACATGTGAACAGGAGGGGGTCTGACATGTGAACAGGAGGGGGGTCTGACATGTGGTCAGGAGGGGGTCTGACATGTGAACAGAAGAGGGGTCGACATGTGAACAGGAGGGGGATCTGAAGGGAGGCTTGAAGGTGGGGAATGAAAAAGAACTGAACTCGGATCTCAAGCCCTCTGAGGGACAAAGTGGGCAATCTATTTCTCACTGTGAACTGACTAATGGGCATCTTGGGTTATACACCTGGCTCTTGTGAGTTTGGGTGAATTGACAAAATTGAGTTGCAAATCCAGAGCATTACCACCACTTTTCTTGTTCATTCATTTGTTTAGCAAAGAGGGTTGCCAAGTCCCTGGTATTAAATGGAGAAGTCTCATATTTTATCTTCATGGCCAGTAATACCCAAATTACAGTCGACCTTTAAACAATATGGGTTTGAACTGAAGCACGGGCACTCCATCTTGTTCCCGTAACCTCTTTTATAAAAACTGCTGTTTAAAATTGTCCACTAAACTTAGATGGTCCTTTGTTCTGTTAATTAACTCTGTTATTCCTGGCTTCTGTAAGCACGCTTGCTCGAATAATAGAGGAAATAAGCTCAATTATCTGGCCTTGCAAGCCACTCTGCCGACATGAGGGTCTGGTCCGTCGCTGGTTCCTCCCACGCCAGGTGTCTTTTGGCTATGTGAGTTATGCTGTGCTCAAGATTACAAGCTTCCTGCAAAATATCTACTAAGCAGACTGTCCCCATCTCAGTACCTGAGGCTCTTTGGAAAGCCTGCAAACGCCCCACATTTAGGAGACAAACCAGAAGGGTATAAAGGGAAAGCTTCCTCCATGTTACTTGGCTCAGACTTTGGAGGTAACTCCTCTGAAACCGCCAGCATAATAAAGACTCCAAATTTGGTTTACTGATTAAGGCGTCCTCTGTTCAACTCGCTGATTTCCAATATAACAGAACTACTTGGTTCTACTTACTAGTATACTGGGATTTTTTTTTCCCAGTGAGTATACAGTCAGCTCTTCATATCCCCAGGTTTTGCAACCAACTGAGGACCGAATTGAGATAGTAGGTATTTAGATAGACATGAGAAGAGTAGGAACAATACGCCAGGTACAGAATGTCACCAGGGCAGGAAGCCCCAGGTACTTAGTAACCGGAAAAACTAGGCTGGGACCTCGCCCGCAGAGTGACCTTGCCTCCCCTAGCATACTGCTGATCATGTGACAGATCCCCTCAGAGGAGAAATAAGGGGACTGAAGAATAGCCTCAAAGGACTTCCATACAAACCCTTATAGGACCACTCCCTTAAGCATTAAGTCCTCAGGACAGTGAGTTTCTGACCCACATCAACTAACCTTTTTTTCTTACTTTTTTCTTCTTCTTTTTTTGCACATCAGGTGATCTTAAGAACAAAGCCTCAGGTCTGTTAGCGCAGAGTCTGAGTTTTGGTCAAACTAGTGATGACACACACGTAGGCCACAGATGTGTTTCAGCTCAGGGCCCAGAAAAGCAGCAAAACCAGATGAAGGGACACCTTAGCTGATATCAGGTTCAGAGGCAATGATTAATAACCCTCCCTTAGCGCTGACCAATCAGTAGAGACCACACCTGAAAGGATAGACTTGAAAACACTGATGAATATTCTATCTGATGAATATTCTAATATTGAGATCCTCCCCTGGGATCTCCCGTAAGACCCTGCCTTTGAAGAGGGGATAAAAACCCTTAGGACCAATGACTCCGACTCCGTGTATGCTCGTTCTTTCTCTCTCAGCACAACCTCATCTTTCCCCTTTTCTTTCCCCAAGGCACATCTTTCTGCCTTTCTTTTTCCTAGGACCATTCTTTTGTTTCTGTGTCTTAGTTCCTGAGCCCATGCAGCCCAGCTGGCTCACTTTTTTTCTTATTCTTTTCTTAATTTCTTAATTTTCATTTTTTTTTTTTTACTGCTGTCACTTTCTAAATAAACTTTCTCTTATAATTTGAGTTCCTTGGTTCTGAATTCTTTTTTTATTGTACGTACTAATTTTCTTTCATCTCTGACAATTTTATTATAGAGAAAGGGCACATACCATAGCAATATTAAAATATTTCCTCTAATTAATTTCCTTTTAATGTGCATGAATTTTGTGCACCCAGCCACTTTTATATATATAAAAGGCTAAGTGACCGACTGTACATCCATCCGACCACCTGACTGACCAACTGGCCAGTAATACGATGCGTACTAGCAATCTATATAAATAAAAGCCTAATATGCTAAGTATCTAACCAGGTCAACCAATCGCTATGACCCCCAGGGGGAAGATGCTCTGACCAGTAGGTTAGCTTGCTGCTGGGGTCCAGCTGATGGGGACTGAGTGAGATGGGCCAGACATGTCCTAGAGCCCACCTCCAGCGGTCCCATCCCCGGCTGGCCAATCTCCTTCAGTCCCTCTCCAGCCTCTAAAATATTTCTCCTAATTAATTTCCTTCCAACATACATGAATCTGTACACAATGTAAGGCTTTTATAGGCAGGTAGACAAGATAAGGAAGTTATTAGCAAAAGAATAAGGACTGTTTCAGGCAAAGTCACCTATCTTTTGGGAACAGGTTGAAGGCTCTTATCAAGCAGATTACCTCACTAGAGTTGATCAGGAAATTCCAGACCGATTGGTTTAAGGCCACATTCCTGGGAGGAGCTGAAACTGGAAGTCTTTTTTTTTTTTTTTTAATATATTTTATTGATTTTGTACAGAGAGGAAGGGAGAGAGATAGAGAGCTAGAAACATCGATGAGAGAGAGTCATCGATCAGCTGCCTCTTGCACACCCCCCACTGGGGATATGCCCGAAACCAAGGTACATGCCCTTGACCGGAATCGAACCCGGAACCTTTCAGTCCCCAAGCTGACGCTGAGTCTATCCATTGAGCCAAACCGGTCTCGGCTGAACCTGGAAGTCTTGATTTGCTGTTCTAGAGGCTCCACCTGGGCCAGTTTCTTTTTCTTCAACAGTATCATGTGTTCTGTGTCCCACAGAGGAAGAACTCGGAGCTTATTCCTTCATTTGGCATGGATCATCTCATCCATTGCTTTCTCAGACAGTATGTTTGGAAGATAAATAGTTTTGGAGCTGAATTCCTTTCCCTTTGACCTGTTCTTCTGGAACATTTAGGGATCTTGTCTCCAAGCTCTGTGAAATATTAAAGTCGGTGTGTGTGGGCAAGCTAAATAGCCATCTCTGAAGGAGATGAAAGAAAACTGAATTTATTTAAGGAAAGGGGATGGGGGCGTGTAGTATCCGAAGGAAAGGGCTGCCCCACCAGGAGACATTGGGTAGGTGATGGCAGCACCCAGAAGCTGGAGTTTCGCCCACATACCCTGTTTCCCTGAAAATAAGACAGTGTCTTATATTAATTTTTTCTCCCAAAGTTGCGCTAGGTCTTATTTTCAGGGGATGTCTTATCTTTCCATGCACTAGGTCTTATTTTCGAGGAAACACGGGTATGTAATCACTGGTGGGAAGCTTGTGTCATCAGTGGGTCTGGGGGCTGAATTGGTGGGCTTCGAATGCAGATGGAATGCGGGTGTGTGATCAGGTGTCTTTAGGACAATTTCTATCTGGTCTGATTCCTGGTGTCCAGCAAGTTTTTCTGGTCTTTGTCCTCCTCTGGTGGGAAACTTCCAAAAGGCCATTAAGGTTATATTGCCCTGGTTTTGTTGCTCTTATTGTTTGTTTAGTCTATGTGAGTGTATTGTCAGAAAGATTTCATAGAAACAGGAATGTACCAGCCAAAGTCAGGGTCATAGGAAACAATTAAAAATATAGGTTTTTTTCTGTGTGGGAACTGACTTTTCCAACATCAGGCTCAGCAGCTGCACCTGTCTGATGCCTTTCTGCAGACACAGCTCTGGGCACACGTGGTACAACACGTGGACCAGCAGGAACAGCGGCTCTTCTCGCAGGAGATGCTTTGTATTCTTTCCATTTGCAGGAGCAGCGTAAATGCAAGTGCGGAGGCCACCCAGCAGGAAACATCGGGGTTCGTTTAGAGCTGGTGAGCCCAGAGGATCCAAAGCAAGTGCTGAAGAAGTTCTTGGGCAAGTGGAAGGTGTGTTCTGGGGCATGTTGTGGGTGGATCTGGCTGGGTCATCTCATTGGGAAACCTTGATTCAGTATCTCTAGTTCTTTGGTTCCCATGACCCAAAGAAGATTCTCCTGAAGCCTCCTGCCTAGGCAGCTAGTGTTCTTGGAGCTGAGTAGAGATATCGGGCTGGGGTTGTGAGAGAAGTTGTTTTATTATTCAGTATGTACGTTTTTCACATGTCCTCCTTTTGTTTTACAGTCTTTTTTTCCAAGGAGGGGGATGGGTAGTATTCCAGTAACTCAAATCAAGGAGAGGTCTTAACTTAAGCAGTTTCAACCAATCCTAATTATAGGACTCTCTGCCCCTTCACTGCCACTTCCAGTGGTGCCTGAGGTAATCGGATCCTAAACCTCTTGGTGAGTTTTATGGTGCCAATAAAATTGCCCTTGAGTTATCCTCGTTACTGGTTTTCTAAATCATCTAGTACTTGTTCATTTTTTTTTTTTTTGGTGCCTTCCAAAATGTTCTTGCTGAAGCATTCTCCTCATCCTTATGTATTTATGCTTAAAAACAAACAATCCCATGTGGTGTTTTTTTTTTTTTTAACAGTTTCAGGAGGAAGAAAATGAAGATATATCTGTTCAGTCTAACATCTTTCCTGAGAATTACTCCTGTTTCTGTTCATTCCTACTGCAGTCACTCTAATTTTAGCCACCCTCATTGTTCAGCTGGTTCACTGCCGCAGCCTGCCAGCTGCTCGTTCTGTTCCCAGGCCTGGCCCATCCTTATCTGTTTTATTACACTGAAGTCAGAATGGACTTTCTACAAAGCAATACTATTTCTCCACCCTCCTTGACACCCTTCTGATTTCCTTTTCCTCTTAACTTATAAGGCCCTGAAGCATCTAGCCTTGATCTCCTATCGGCGAATCTGCACCAGAATGTTACCAATGACTGAACCTTGATCCAGCAACCTCAGTGCTTGAGTTCTGGGGCTAAGAAAGAATTCAGAACCAAGACAAACAAAAGTTTATTTAGAAAGTCACAGAGATAGAAAAGGTGAGACAACCGGGCTGCGGGGGTTCAGGAAACAAGTTAGAGAGGCAAACGAGAGAAAGAAAGCAGGGATATTGGTGCCTGGGGGAAAGAGAGAGGGAAAGGCATAGGAGAGAAAGGGTGAGGGGGAGAGAGAAGGTGAGAGGGAGAGAGAGGTGGAGGCTGGATCCTCTGTCTATCCTAAGGGTTTTTATCTGCTCTCTAAAGGCGGAGAAATTAGGGCAGGTCTCAGGGGAGGATCTCAATGGAATATTCCTGGAAGGCAATCTCTAGCACACTGGAGCTTCCCAATGGGTCATTTTTCATTCCATGAATTCTGGACTCTTTCAAAGGGATCTGATTGTTTTGAATTTTGCACAGCCCTACATATATTCTCTTTTTATAAAAAGGTCTTTGTCCTAGCTGATTTGGCTCAGTGGATAGAGTGTTGGCCCTCGGACTGAAGGTTCTGGGTTCGATTCAAATCAAGAGTACTTTCCTTGGTTGCAGGCTTGATCCCACATGTGGAAGGCAGCCAATCGATGTGTCTCTCTCTCTCATTGATGTTTCTTTCTCTGTGTCACTCTACCTCCCTTTCACTCTCTAAAAATCAATGAAAAAAATATCCTCAGTTGAGGATTAATAAAAATAAAATAAAAGGTCTTTGCTCCTGATTATAGGAGCACTGTGGAATGTCTGTAAATATGTTTTTATAATTCTGTTTTAAGTTGGCATACACTCAAATGAAACCAGTCACTGGCAGGCAGTTGGTGCTCCCGGGACAGGTCAATGATGGAATTCAAAAGGAATGGGGAGTGGGTGTGGAATGAGTGTCTGTTCCCTGCAGGCCAGTGTGGTCTCAGACCTTTAGACTCATTGTAAGCTGCCACTGCCAACACAAGACCAAAGCCTGTGACTTGTCAGTGTGCGGGTGACATCATTAAAGGCTGATGCTAGCCTCGGAGCCTTGAAGCCTAGCCTCGGGGCCTCAGGCCATAGCCCTGCCTCTGACCCAGCTTTTCCTGGTAATCTCCTCTAAGGTGTTCTCAACACACACCGGAGACAGCAGAGAACTTTCCTGGTGACCTCTACTCAGGTGTTATTTCCAAGATGCACAGGAGATGGCAGCAGAGAACAGCATTTCTGGTTGTTTTCAAGATGGAACTAGCAGGCAGCAGAAAAAATTCTTCCTGGTGACCTTCACTCGGTGTTCCTCCCAAGGTGCCCACAAGCTGGAAGAAAAGAGCATTTTCCTGCCTCGAGGGCTCTGCCCTCTTTGCATTACAATGAGGATACAGAGCCCTGGTAATAAGCTCACTTTAAAAAATACATATCTTATTGATTTTTTTAGAGAGGGAGAGGGCCAGAGAGTTAGAAATATCGATGAGAGAGAATCATCGATCAGCTGCCTCCTGCGCACCTCCTCCTGGGGATGTGCCCATAACCAATGTAGACGCCCTTGACCGGAATCAAACCTGGGACCCTTCAGTCCACAGGTCAACGATCTATCCACTGAGCAATAAAAAACCGTTTCGGGCAATAAGCTCACTTTGATATAATTCATATTTCTAAGCCCTCACATACTCATCTGACCTACTGCCCCTCTTGGTAGATGAGGCAGGAGCATGTGTTTTCTCCATTTTACACGTATTTAAGATGAAGACTGATTCCAAGATAACGGAGGCCTTAAATGGGCCAAGATGGGCCAGAAGAGGGAGCACATCCTGGACTAATGGAGGAATCTCACAGTCCTTGCAGCTTTGGGTTGAATCTTGGTCATTATATTTGAAGGAAATCTGCACGTTACCGAATGGCCCACCTCGCCATACACCCACCCCAGGGGTAGGACTTGGGCAGGCAGCTGGGGAAGGGGACAGAGAGGGAGGAAAAGAGGGAGGAGGTGCCCTGGCCCTCTCCTCCGCATCCTACCTAGACGTGCAGCCAAGGCTAGGCCCACGGAGCCGACACAGTCTGCCCCGCCCCAGATGCCGGAGGGAGTCCTCGGAGGCGCGGTGGCGCTCGGTAAAGCTCTGGTGTGCGCCGTGAGGAGCATCGCAGAGATGGGGCTCTAGCTCCCTGCCGGATGGACTGCGCAGGAGCACGTGCTGCACCGCCAGCGACGGCCAGAGGGGCGCACGCATGCGCGGGGGGGGCCTCTGCACATGCGCAGATAGATTCCCCATACATAAACCTTTATATTTATATAAGCTTACATGAGACATCTCATTAAATGTCCTCCCTATTCCTTGTGGGCCACTCGGCAGCCCGGAAGTGTGCCCGCCGGCCGGCCCCTCTCCCACCTTTAAGGACTTTCACTGGCGTTTGCCCACAACCGTTATCCTGCCTCCCGGAAGGTGGTGAGGAAGGTGGTGTGAAGCGCATTGCGCAGGCGCACTACAGATGCCCCGCCCCCTCGCGGGTGTCGTCCAATCCCAGCCGAGGTGCCATCCAGGCGCCCACGAGCGGAGAGGGAATGGCGGGGCGGCCGGGGCCCTCGAGGTCTGAGTCCACGGCGGCGACCACGGACCAGGCTGGGAAGGCCGAAGGTAGCGTGGGGTGCGGGGTGCGGGTGCAGTCTCCGTGGGGGCGGGCGGGAGCGCAGGTGGACTCCCCTCCGGACTCAGGTCGGGCCTCCGCGGCCTAGCACCCGCGGGAAGAGGGTATCATTTGCGCGGGGCGCACAGGGGGCGTCCGAGGGCGGAGAAGGGGTTTGGATTCTGAAGGGAACACACAAGTGGGGGCACATTTTTAATCCTCTTGTTGTTTGCTCTTCTGCGGGGTCTGTGTGGTTGCTACTTCTTGGGGACACTTCTTAACCGTCGTTTGAGGGTCAGGTGTTAATGTCGGCCTCGAGGGGTCACTGCAGGGCGAGTGTCCTTGATCCCCCACGACCCCGCAGGGTGTGCTGGGTAACGAAGCGTTGCGTCTGCTGATCGCGAAGGGACTCAGTTTCTCTCTCGTGCCGTTTCCACCTCAAGACAAGGAGCCGGGGCACCTCTCTGACGGGAGGTCTGCCCTCAGCCCACCTCAGTCCCAGCCCAGGGCTGTCGGATCCCTCCTCACCCTCTCACTCCTACAGGATTCTGAGATGTTCTGTCTTGTCTCCACAGGGCAGGCCAAGTCCTCACAGAAAATTGAAAACTTGATGGATATGGTGAAGAAGTTGCAGAAAGGTCATATGTCTCCATTATAACTGAGGCTCAAACAGAAGTGGATCCAACTACAGGCCCCACAGTTCACAGCCTTTGGAAATTCATTCATTCACTCTTACTTCTAAAACTTAATTCTTGAAAATAGAAGTATAGACCCATGATCAAAAATTAAAGTATAAGGCGATAGCAGGCAAAACATTTTCCCAAAACCCAGTTGCAACCCCCTTGCTGACTACCCTCTTTACTGTCACTACGTAAAAGGGATTAAAGTTAGACCCAGGTTTTCACCTTCTCCTCCCTTCCCTCCACCTCCCCTCTGCTACTCTCTGCTTGCTCACAAGGCCCCTCCCAGCCAAGTTGCCATCTCAGGGCAGACCTCTGACTGACTGCCTCCCATTCCCATCCAAGGAGTGAAAGGCCTGCCCCCTCACTTGATTTGGGGCCTTCAAGAGGCCTTCCCATATCTGAAGAAGCATGTCCCCCTCTTTCAGTCTTTGACCCCTAGCCCCTCTATTTCCCTTGACTGCAGTTACCACAGCCTGAGTCAGTATCTTGGTTTATCTCTTCCTCATCTCCCCTGCCTTGAATGTGAGCCACTGGAGGGTCCCCATGTGCCTCTGCCTGGCCTGTCATCTTCACTCAACCTCCTTTCCTTCCTGCAGAGGGAAGCCTAGAGCCCAGGGTTGAGGTCCTGATTAACCGGATTAATGAGGTCCAACAAGGTGAGCTCAGGAATTTTAGCTTGTCAGCCAGGAGCAGCCAGGCGATTTGCAGGGCCCGGTGTAAGAGGAAAATGCAGGAGCCCTGGTTCAGAAATTACTAATTATTTCACAACAGCAACTGCAGAGCATTAAACAAGCACGGATGCATCCAAATGCGGCTGTTAGTGTCCTGGGTCCCTTATCCTGGCCCTGCTGCGGACAGCCCACCAGAAAGGCCCTGGAAGCCTCATTTTTCTGCTCAGTAAAATCTGCCCCCCCCGCCCCCCCCGGTTTGCTTGAAGACAAATGTGAAATGTCAGTTTGCAAGGAATGGTGTGGTTGGAGGCTGCACTGACAGTGTCTGACCTTCTGCTCTTTGGCACAGCAAAAAAGAAAGCCAGCGAGGAGCTGGGAGAGGCCCGGACTGTCTGGGAGACTCTGCAGAAGGAACTGGACTCACGTAAGGGTGCCAAGGTTCCCTCAGAGGTCCCCAGTGTCATGCCTCCCTGAGCCCAGTATTCCAGACACTGAGCGTGTGTTCGTGGCCAAGGGCCCCCGCACCCTCTCCAGCCTCAGGTCGTAACCTGCCAAACTCCCCCTTGCCTACTGTGGGTACAGTACTCCCAAACACCCCCCAAGCATACTTCCACCTCAGGGCCTTTGCTAGGCTGTTCCTCCCTCTCTCCGCCCCCCAGATAATATCGGTTCTCATTGCTTTATATCATCATTCAGCTCTAGCTCAGATATTCCATTCTCAAAGAGACCCTCCCCCATCATCCCATCTGAAGACAGCACCCTGTACCACCTGATTACATGCCCCTTCCTGCTTGATGTGTATCCTCACAGTCTACCCATTTCATAGACGTGTTTCCTTTTTCTCTCCCCTCTATATAAACACACCTGCATCCCACAGGGTCCTCCAGCCGCCCTTTTCAGCATCAGAGCCCTTTGGCGCTCACAGGGAGTGTGGTCACAAGAGGGGAGGGGGCTAGAGGAGTGCTGTACCAAACTGCCCGTGTCCCTGAGGGTACAGTGGGTGGTCCTTGGTACCCGGATGTGCACTGATCCCTGAACCTGTGACTGTGCTTTCCAGTGAGCGGAGAGAAAGTGCGCCTGAAAGAGATGTTGAGTAAAAAGCAAGGTAAGGACAGCTACACCGCCCCAGGCTTCTGCCTTTGCGCCCCGGAAGCGTACTCCCTGCGGGCACCTGAGCCTCTGCATGAGCTGGCATCCCTCCTGTGGCTTCCACCAATTCGCTGCAAATGACAGAGTCCCACCCCGTGTCCACGAGACTCCACATGATGTAACCCTGTTACCTCTCCACAAACCTGATGCCTGTCGGCTCCTCTCCCTGCAGAGACGCTGAGGATCCTCCGGCTCCACTGCCAGGAAAAGGAGAGTGAGGCTCAGAGGTAAGCGCTCACCTGGCCTCACTCTGCCCTGCCCTTCGTCTGGTGAAGAAGTGAGGGAATGCTAGACCACAGCGCTCCTTCCCTCCTGTCACATGGAAAGGCCAAACGCGTGTCTTCTCACCTCAGCTCTCGCAGTAGGCAGGCGTGTTATGGGTGTTCTCACTCACCGGGATAATTGTTCTTTTCACTAGCATACCAATTACATTCTTGTAGCTGGCTTTTATTCCAAGCTGTCTATTCACTCACCTGCCTATCTGTCCCTTCAGCTGTCTGTCCACTCAGCCTCTCATCAATCACCCATTATTCTCCAACCACCTGACTATTTGTGTATCCGTCTGTCCACCTCCTGAACACTTCTTCGGCTCATTTTGTGACCAGAGGCACCAAGCCCTGGCATCCTCAGATTGTTCGGGAAATTCAGAGGAGATTAATGTGTGTGCTTCTGCACTTTTGACCATGTCCGTGTTGATCTCCTTAATCCTCACCAAGATATTTCCGGGGGCATGTGCTCAAATCCCCCCGCCAAGTTACAGAGAAGGACTCCACCCCTGGGCTAGAACAGAGCTCAGGAGAAGGAGGCGGAAGCCCCACCCGCCCCTTCCTGAGGAGACATTCGGAGACCAGACTGAGGGCTGCGTTGCCGCTTCCAGGAAGCAGATCCTGCTAGAAGAGTGCAAGGAGCGAATCTGTGCCCTCAACTTCCAGATTGAGGAGGAGAAGAGCAAACAGAGGCAGCTGAGGTAAAGCCCAGCGCCGAGGCCTTCGGGGGCAGGAGTGGGTGTAGATGGGATGATATCAGGGAGGGGGTTAAAGGAGGAACTGGCCAGCCTAAGGCTCAGAGGGTCAAGGTAGTGAAGTTTCCCCATAAGAGCAAAGAGTATGGGGAAGCCCCCTCCCCAGGACTGTACTGGAGACCCTTAGCCTGGGCCAGGGTGTGGGGCGTCTCAACCCAGGACCCTCATCCAATGTGCTTGGCCCCCAGATTGGATTTCGAGGAACAGCTGGAAGAACTGATGAGCCAGCACAAGGACCTCTGGGAATTCCACGTGAGTCACCCAAAGCCATTCCTCTCATTTCCCCATCTTCCATGGCAGAACCAGGCCCAGAATCAGTCACCCTCCAGGTTTCGTTCCTCTCATCTTCTCACCCGCCACACCCAGTGCCTGAGCAAGCCCTGACAGCCAAACGTCAAAATCCCCGCCAGTCAGACCCTCCTCACCACCCTCACTGCCACCCATTTCATCCTCTTCTCTGGTCCTGCCCACCCCTGCTGCCTTCTCGGGGGCCCTCAGCGGTCAGGAGGAATCCTGATGGACTAAGGAGGGGTCATCCATCAAGGAGATCCACACATATGTTTGGGGACATCACAGGGAGTGGGGTCAGTGTTTGCCACCAAGGGATCCCAGCCTCCAAACCAGAAACTAGGCAGAGAGAATGAATGACAGGATGGAAGGGCTCAATGAGGGGGCCCCGCAGAGGGATGAGGAAGCAGGGCTGGGCTGGTCCCGATCCTCCAGAGGACAGCCTCCTGAGCCTCTGCAGCACAGCACTGGAGGCAGCGAGGAGAAACGTGCCAGGCAGAGGCCCTGGGGCTGCACCAGCCTAGTATGCTGGGAGGGCCAGGGCGGTAGGAGGTGAGGCGGGGGCGCGAGTGGGGAGTGGGAGATAAGCATGGGCCTCCTTTCTCCCCCTCAGCGTCCAGAGCAGCTGGCCCAGGAGATTGGCGCCCTGGACAGTAGCAAAGAGCAATTGCTCAAGGAAGGTGAGAATGGGGGCGCCCTGCTCAGACTTGTCCTGCCCTGCCCTGCCCTGCTCATCTGTCCCTTCCTGCTGCAGAGAAGCTGGTGGAAGCAAAGCTGGAGGATGTGAAGAATCGCCTGTGCTCCCAGTTCGGTACCAAGGGCTGCTCTGCCATCACTGAGGGGCTCTTCCTTCGCAGCAAGGAGGCAGCAACTGCAGTGTAAGACAGGTGGGGGAAGGGTAGAGGGGGAGCTAGCAGCGCTGATGGCCCCACCCTCAGGCATCTGTTTGAGGAGGAGACCAGAAAGGCCCAGGAGCTCCTGGAGGACACTGCCCAGCGCCATGAGCAGCTGCAGGAGGAGTGCCAGCAGCTGCAGCAGAGAAGGCAGAGGTGGGCATGGAGCCCCTCTCCCTGTGTGTAAGGGGAGGCTGGTTCAGGGAATCTCTCTCCTGCCTCTGTCTCCTGCCCTCTCCAGCTCTCTTTTCCCTCTACTCCCTTCCCCTCTCTTATCCATCCCAGGCTGAAGGAGGAACTGGAAAAGCTCGGCGGGCAGGTCACTGCTCAGGCCGAGAGCAAACAAGAGGATGGGACCAGCCCAGAAGCAGCTGTGAGCCCTGAAATCAAGTGACAGCTCATGAAGGGGGGGGGAGGGGGGCGGCGGGAAGGCAAGGAGAGGGTCTGGGGGTCCCCAGAGGATGATCTTAAAAGAAGGGCATTCCCACAGGGGCACAGCCAAGGCAAAGGCTAGAGGCTATCAGTGGTGGGAGGCAGGCCCCAGAGAGGGTGTGGGTACATGGATTCCGGAAAACTTCCATCTCAGACCCTGACCTCCCTCAGGCCAATCCAAAGCCCCTTGGAGTCAGCGAGGAGAAAGACGCAGAGCTGCCCGCCGAGCAGGCCTGATACCCTCCTAGGCGAGGAGGTTCCCCTGCCCTGGAGCTTATGCCTGGGCTTCAGGAAATAAAGACACTATTTCTGTACAATGCCTCAGCTGTGTCCGTGCTGGGGCTCGGGGAGGGGAGGGGAGGCCTCTGAGACTGGGTGGAGCTTTGGCGCTCTCCGCACTCAGTCAATGGTTCCTTGGGCTCCCAGTCTCCGGTCTGCTCACCTCCAGGGCCCACTGCTCTGCGTCCCCAGGCAGAGGGGTGCAGGCCTGAGACCTCTCACGATAGGGCTAGGGGTCCTGAGAACCCTCCCTGTGATTGTTTCTTCCATTCCGTAGTCCGGTTTGGACAACACAGCATCCCCGACATCCCAACCGCGAGGACCGGGGTGCTGGAGCCCTCAGCCAGTCGGTGACATGCCCTCACTCACCCTGACAGGCTGAGAAAAAGATGCAATGGAGGCCAAGCGTAGTCTGTGCTCTCATGGGCACAAAATGTACCACGGAGCCCCTGTTACAAGAGTATCATGTTAGAAGCCCGCAGTGTGCTGGGAGGCACTCGGGACTATTGTGTGCTTCTGAGGCACCTTTCAAATCCCAAAATGCATCAGCCCGGTTAACGGCAGTGTTGGGAGTGGAGTCTGTGTTCCGGGTCAACATACAGCGAACTAGGTACAAAGATGTTCCTTGTCTTGAAAGGCTCCCATGCCCAGCTAGGACAGTGAGCGGTGGGGTGGAGAGAGGCCCCACAGGCCCCACGGAAGAGCAGTTTCCATGGAAAAGCAAGAACAGCCTCAGTGGGGATTCACCCGTCAGCAGGAGAGCTGAGGCTTCAGACCGGAAACCCAGACTCGGTTTGAACAATAGGCCCAGTGGCATCCTTAGCCTAGTCCCAGAACTTGTGACTGTTGCCTCACCCAGCAAAGGGGCCTCTGGATATGGGGTGAGAGTCTCAGGATGGGGAGACTGTCCTGGGCCACCAGGGAGGATCCCTGAAGCGGGAGGCAGGATGGTCCGTCAGAGACTGGAAGGTACCGCTCGGCTGTGAAGCATGGCCTGTTTATTGAGGACAGTGTGCACCGTGTCCGGAGGCCCTGCATCCCTAGTGCCCCCCCTTCCCGCTAGTACAGCTGAGAGCGGCTTCCTCTCATGCCCCTTTACCATCTTCAGAGCATACGTGCCTCACGCGTGTGAGCGGGGAAGGAGACAGAGTTTGTAATTGGGCGGGATGCTGGCAAACCCATTCACGATGGGAGTGAGGTCAATATCCTTGGGGTCGATGAGAGACTTCAAGTTAAAGTGCTGCAGAATGGCGGTGAAGAACAAGAACAACTCCATGTGAGCCAGGCCTTCTCCGACACACACCCGCCTTCCTGCAGTGACACAGGACACATGAGACAGGTGGGAGGAGGCAGGGGGGGACACCCCCGTCCAGCAGGATGACCCTCTCTGCCCGTTGAAAGGAAGCACAGGATGTACTTTGGGATAAGAGTATCGGGCCCACACATTCAGGGACCAGCCTTCACACTCCTCAACCACCAGGACGCAGCTGCCTAAACCCACGGGAGGTCAGAGTATGCTCTCTGCTCACCCATGTCCCACAGCAAGAAGCCAATGCTATACCATCTGGTGTTAAAGTTACCGAGCTGGTTACTGACATTCCCTCACACCAACAGCCGAGAGAAGAGCTGGGGAGGAGACCCAGGCCCCGAGGTGACAGCCCGGGAGAGGCTGAGGGTCCCATGATGGTCCAGGTAACCAAAGGTTACATTCTGTTTAGTAACAGAGGATTAGGTAATAGCGTTTTTGAAAGATTTTTTATTTTATTTTATTTTATTCATTCATTTATTTATTTATTTATTTTACTAAGTTCTATTAAAGAATTTTAGCCCTGAATGAAGTGAAATATCTACTGTTCGGAAAGAGAATTCATCCACAACACTCATTCCCAGGACTCGTGGTGAGAAGATGTCATTAACCTCTGAACAGGGAGGCGCGCATTGTGAATAGACATGAAGGACGAGATGCAGGTCTGAGATGATGCAGATGACCCGGGGAGCAGAGGACGGGAATTGGGGACAAATCCTGGGAGGGGCTTCAGTTGAACTCCTCTTACCTGCGGACAATGCCTTGAAATAGTCACTGTACTTGAAATTCCCTTTTTCATCCAGAAAATGCTCTGGCTTAAACTTGTCTGGATCGGGGAATTCTTGGTTATCAAACAAGAGGGAATCCAGTGTCGGAATTAGGATTGCGCCCTAGAAGAATAAAAGCACTCTCAGTCAAGTTAGCAATGCTTTGATCTGGGGCCCCCAGTGAGGAAGGGGGTTCGAATTTTACCTCTGCAAGAGAGGAAGTGCTCAGTGGGGGACTGGATAGGAAGAACTCGGGTCTAACTAGCAGTGAGAGCGCCAACCTTTACCCTGGAGCATGGGGCTGGTTGTTGCTGTTTGTTTTCTGGTGTTACCGTGTTTCCCTGAAAATAAGACATCCTCCGAAAATAAGACCTAGCACATGGAAAGATAAGACATCCCCTGAAAATAAGACCTAGCGCAACTTTGGGAGAAAAAATTAATATAAGACACTGTCTTATTTTCGGGGAAACAGGGTAGAATATCCCACCAACAGCCCTGGCTGGTTTGTTTGGCTCAGTGGATAGAGTGTTGGCTCACGGACTGAAATGTCCCAAGTTCAATTCAGGTCAAGGGCAGGTACCTTGGCTGCGGACTCTGGGCACTTGCAGGAGGAAACCAATTGATGTGTCTCTCTCACACTGATATTTCTCTCTCCCACTCTAAAAATCATTGGAAAATGATCCTCAGGAGACACCACCAACCCCAGGGACTATCTCAGGAGCCCATTTTCCAAATCTCCCCGATCTCTGTGGTCACCAGGTCCATGTGAGGCCTGCTAGGGAAGGGGCCCTCTGCAGTCGGGAGTGGCCGAGCCACATCTGCCAGAGGAGGTGTCCTTGGGCCTTCCATCCTGTCCCTGATCAGGATAGTGGCTGAGCTGGTAGGATGGTACTCGGGGTGTGCAGTCCAGCTCACATCTGACCTTGGGGATGATGTAGCCTCTGAACACTGTGTCCTCAGTTGCTTCATGGTTCATGTTGGAGGGCAGGAAATTGATGAACCGCTGAATCTCATGCACCACCGCGTCCATGTAGGGCATCTCTAGCTTGTCCTTGATGGACGGGATTCGGTGCGGCCCAATCACCCTGTCAATTTCTTCATGAAGTTTCTCTGCCAAGATATGAATGGAAAGGTGAAAAAGGACTGGCTCGAGGCTGGCTCCACAGCCAGCCAGCCAGCCATCTAGGGAGCCCTCCAGGCCAAGAGAGCTTCAGGGTGCCAGGAGCCTTGGATTGTTGGACAACGCCTCCACAAATGTCAGCGAGAGCTAAGCTCGTCAGGTTCTAGTCTATAGCATGTTTTGGCATCCACCCTTTTTTCTAATTATTATCGAGGTAACATCGGTTTGTAGCATTATACAAGTTTCAGGTGTACAATGTTAACATTCAACATCTGTATGTACTATGTTGTGCTCATCACCATCCATCCCCATACAATTAACCCCTAATCCAGGGGATATTAACACGGATATTAACATGATTAACACATAATCATGTATGTGATTTGCCAATATCTCTTCCCCTTCTGTAGGTTGCCTTTCATTTTGTACTGTGCAGAAGCTTTTCAGTTTGACGTTCTATTTGTTTATTTTCCCTTGCCTTTGGAGTCAAATCCATAAAAACATCACTACGACTGATATCAAAGAGCTTAGTACAGTACATGTCTTCTTCCTATGTCATGGTTCTGGTCTTAGGCTCAGCTCTCCTATCCACTTTGCGTTAATTTGTGTGTATGGTGTAATTCAATGGTCTAGTTTCATTCTTTTGCATGTGGCTATCCATTTTTCCTAACACTATGTAACTATACAGATCCCGTCCTTTTCCATCTCCCCTTTTATGTTTTTGTTGCCCCAAACTATCCCATTTTATGTTGTGAGCTCGTTACCGAATTGAAATAGCTATCGTTATGTTTAACGCCTTTCCCCTTTAACCATCAGGCTATAATTTAGTGTTAAACACCCCCCTCTGAAATAGCTTTGCCACTTCCTGATTCTGTCTGTGTCTTCGTCACCTGCCTTGAAGTTGTGTGCAGTTTCACCTCAGGGAGAAGAGCTCCTTACATTTCTTATGATGCAGGTTTAGTGGTGGTGAGCTCCTCAGCTTTTGCTGGTCTGGGAAAGCCTTTATCTCCTTCCTACCTGAATATTTTTGTGGACAGAATCTTCCTGGCCAGCAGTGTTTCTTTTTCAGTATTTTGAATATGTCATTTTACTCATTTCTGGCCCGTGGAGTTCTGCTAATGGGGGTATCTTTGTAGGTTACTAACCCACCCCCCCTCAACTCAGTTGCCTTTAAAATTCTATGTCGTTAACTTTTGACAGTTTTAATATAGTGTTTTGGAGTTCTTTTTGTGTTGAGGTAATTAGTTGTTTAATAGCTTCCTGTACTTGTACGCTCAGCTCCTTCGCCAGGTGTGGGAAGTTCTCAGCTGTTATTTCTTTTCTTTCTTTCTTTTTTTAAATATATTTTATTGATTTTTTACAGAGAGGAAGAGAGAGAGATAGAGAGTCAGAAACATCGATGAGAGATGAATATCGATCGGCTGCCTCTTGCACACCCCCTACTGGGGATGTGCCCGCAACCAAGGTACATGCCCTTGACTGGAATCAAACCCGGGACCCTTCAGTGCGCAGACCGACGCTCTACCACTGAGCCAAACCGGTTTCAGCTCAGCTGTTATTTCTATAAATAAGTTCTCTGCTCCCTTCCACTCTCTTCTTATTCTGGGGTACCAAGTATTCCATGTTCCTTTTCTTTCTTCTTTCTTCTTCTTTTTTTATAGTCAGTTAGTTCTCTTAGAGTTTCTTAATTTTTAAAATTTTAGGCCTCTCTCCTCTTTCACATGATCATTTCCCGATTTCTGCCTTCTCTCCCCTGTGGTCTGCTCTATTCCCAGGGCTTATGGTGAGTCTTCACCTCATGTATGGAGTTCTTCGGCGCCAGGATATATGTTTGGTTCTTC